GTGTCTACAACTTGTGCTGTGGTGAGAGGGCGCTGGGCGAGGCCGACGCAGGCGTGCTGGGCTGTGGCCCTAGGCGCTGGCTCCACGCTCAGCTCGGCCACGCCCCAAGGTTGTCCAGGTCCTGTTAACAGCTGGTAGGGAAACGAAATAGCTTGTCTCCAGGATCTTCACATTGGGGCAACATTTCTTGCGTGGGGCTGGAGTGGGGGCACACGTGCCCCAGCCAGGCCTAGGAGAGGGAAGTTTCCCGCCCAGCCTGGCCCTGCTGGCCTCTGACACACCCCCGGGGGCTGAGCGCAGTCCCGTCCTCAGCAGAGCAAAGCGTTTCCACCCAGGGTGGTGGAGGAGGTGCTTTCAGCGTGGTGCTGGGAGAAGCCCCCCACCTACTGGGCAGGGGTGACCCCGCCCCCTGCGGCGGGCAGTGTAGGGGCAGGGGTGTTGGGGGCGGCGACCTCCGCGCCTTGGGGTGGCGTCTCCCGGCACCGGGGTCTCTGTGTCTGCCCCATGGCCGTGTAGGCCGGAGCGCCCTGACCCGTGGGAACCCGCTGTGCCGCGGCCAGGGCTGGGCAGAGGCAGGCCCTGGCTCACCGAGCACCTGCACCATGGACGCTGGTTCTGCGGGCGCCGCGGGGCTGTGGGGTGGGCTGAGCTGCTAGCGAGTACAGGGGCCTCCTGAGCCCCGTCTGTCCTCCCCCAGGGGCGCTGCCTGGGGTCGGGGGGGACCCGAGGGGCGGGAGGGACGGCTGGGTAGCCGGTCGGTATGTCTGGCCCCGGGTCCAGCTCGGCCCCGGCCTCCTCCTCTGCAGGGCTCTCGCCCTCCGGGCTGGGGGAGGGCCACCCTCAGTGGTGTCCTCCCCAGGAGCCCGCCCAGGCCAGCACCTACGGTGCATCTGGGTGCCAGGCAGACGGCAAGTTGGCAGAGCTTTTCTCCCTGCAAAGAGCAGGGGTGACGGACTCAGTATGACGAGGGACAGACACGGCAAAGCGCTAAGCGCTGTGAGAGGGCCCGGGTCGGGCGCCCACGCTGTGGCCGGCTGTGCCACCGGAGGTGACTCACTCCTGCGCTGGTTTCCCAAGGTCCGCACTCGGGAAAACCTCAAGCGCAGTGAGCTAAGTGCTTCTGCTTGCCTTGAAAAAAGTTGTGCTTATTTTTGGAGGAATTTAATCCATATGCCTCAGACCCTTGCGCGTTACTCAGCACAAGGCTGTTTCCGCCAGCCTGGCCGGCTGTGAGCCGCGTCCCTCCGCCCCCCGCCCCCCCGGCCTCCCGGCTCCCCCCTCCAGTCCTCAGCCCGCAGCGCCAGGTGCCGGGGGTGCTGGGGAGGGTGTGCGTCCGGCCTCCGTTTCGGGCTCTGTGTTTGGCTCACTGTGCATGTTTGGTGTGAATTTCCATTTCTGCAGCGTTGCCCTCCGGTGGGGTGTGTGTGGGGACAGGCTGTGGGTGCTCTCTTCAGTTCCGCCGCAGGTGGCCAGCGCCTCTCCCAGGGCCTCCTTCTCCCCGGCGGGCCCCCACGCGCGCACCCCATGTCTGTCCCGGCGGGCAGGCGGCGCCAGAGAGGGCAGCCGGGCGCTGACGTGCAGCGCGGCTCTGGCGGAGGCAGGCCCTGGGGTGAGTGGAGAAGTGGGGCGCAGGGTCCCCCCAGTCTCCTGGGCCTGCCCCCGGGAGGGCGGCTCTGCCACACCTGTGGTTAGGAAGACGCTGACTTCCTGACTCGGTTCCCGGTAGCAGGAGAGGGAGCGGTCGCGGGGTTTGGCTTTGAGTCTCCACGGCAAGGACGCTTCTGGTCTCAATAATTCCGTAAAATGCCCAGCGGCCTGGTGGCGTCTGTCTGGCCCAGCGCCCGGACAAGGCTGCTGCCGGGCCCTCTGGCCGCGGAGCCGGTCCCTTCCCGGGGGTCCCGCCAGCTGTGAGCACGCGTGTCTGGTTTAGATTTCAGGTCGCGGGACCTTGTCACAAGCGGCAACACGTAAGCAGTGCCGGGCTCCGGGAGCGATCAGGTGCCAACGCACAGATGTGACCCCGAGCCAGGGGCTGTTTCTGACTCACACGGGCTGGCCCGGCCTGGGCTTCTGCTGCGCCTCGCCCGGGGCAGGGGCTGAGCTCCAGGCCCGGCTGGTGGAGGGGCCTCTACAAGGTCTGCCCCGCAGGGAGCCCAGGCCCCTCCCAACACGGGGGCGCTGGCTCAGGCCTCTGTCTGCAGTGCTGTTCACCCCCAAGGACTAGCGCGTTGAGGCTGGGGCTCACGAAACACGGGGGGTCCCGCGCCCCCCAGCCCCTACCGCTCTCAGTGGATCGCCCGCGCTGAGCCCGTGCTGGGAGGTGAGGCCGGCGGCAGTGGCCGTGGCTGTCTCCGTGGCTCCTGGGGACTCATGCGAGGAGCCCTGCAGCTCCCCCCGACGCCTGAGCCAGGTCTGGGGGAGGAGGTGGGGGGCGCCTGGGCGGGGCCCGTGGGCAGCATGGTGGGCCTTTTACATGCAGGCTCCGCCTCCTCGGACTGAGAGGCACGCGGGGAACCGTAATTCAGAGCGAAGCCTCTGGCAGCCATCGCGGCCCAGGACGCGCCTGTCAGTGGATGTCGGGAAACCTGCTGGCGGAGCCGGCCCCACGCCCCCACGGAGCCGCCCCGACCGGTGGCTGGGAGCAGGCCGCGGGTGCCGGCGGGGCGGGCTCTGGAGGCCAGGAGGGCAGGGAAGGGGCCTGTCCCAGCATCCACAGGGTGCGGGGACGTCGAGGAGTCGGTGGTGGAGGCGACCGTGTAGGCCGGGACCCCCAGCCAGTGATGGTGCAGGTGGGGTCCCCAGGACCCCGGGCCAGAGGGGCGGAGAAGTGACGTCTCTGGCTTCGGATGAAAACTCAATGTCCGAAGCAGGCTCCCAGCTTGGCTGTGCCCGCTCTTTGGGGTGGGGCCATGGGGGCTTTGGGGGGGCGGGGTGACCGTGGGGGGCCGTCTGGCCGGCCGGCAGGTCACTGCTGTCTCAAGGCGGGCCTTCCTACTCCGCCTCCTGGCCCAGAACCCATGGGAAAGGGGTGTTGGGACACCCCACCCCATGTGCTCGTTCTTGGGCCAGGGCTCCGCACCCGCCTGGCCAGGCCTCGCGGCTGTCCTTGCTGGACAGCAGAGCTGGTGCCAGGGCCCAGCGGAGGCTTTGCTGGAGGCACTGGCTCCCTGGTCAGATCCTCGCGGACGGGGCTGAGAACTTGCTTCAGGGCACATTTCTCAGGGCCCTGCACCTTGGCCCTCGAGGGGTGCCGAGGCCAGTGAGCTGGGGGCCGGGTCCACCTTCCTGGGGCTTTCTGCAGCGTTAGGCCGCGTGTCCTGCTCTCCAAGGGGCAGAGGCCCAGCCGCAAACCACTGCCCGGGGCCCTGCTCAGCGCACGTGGAGGAGGGTGGCTGGGTTGGGACAAGGGGGAGGGGGACGGGCCCCCAAAGTTCACCAGCCCGCCTTGGGCCGGGGCTCATGCTGTGCTGCCCTTGGCAGCACCCTCCAGCCTGAGTCCTGGCTCTGCCGGTGCCCAGGCCTACGTCCACCTCCGGCTTCCGGCCGTCAGCTCAGGCCTGGCCGTCTGGTCTCCAGTGCGGTCACCAGGACGGCGTGGGGCAGGACAGGGTGCCTGAGCTGGGAGGCGCACTCACGAGGCTCCTGAAGGCGGCTCGAGCCCCCGCTGCAGACCGGTGCCAGGGCTGGAGAGGCTGGTGGCCCCACCCGCGGGCAGCCGGGTGTGGGTGCAGGCCCTGACCCACCAGATCAGCCCTGCCCGGGCGCCACTCCAGCCCCACCCACACGGCGGCTGCTGCCCGGGGCACCACGGAACGGATGGTCTCATCGCTTTTAAAATAATGACGGTGGCGTGGGCTGGCGACGCACTGCCCTGCACCGGCCAGTCCCTGCCGCGGGCCCGTGTCCGAGTGGCCGACACAGATTGGGTCTGTCCTGTCCAGAGCGCTTGGGACGACCCCTCTGGCCGAGGCCAGCAGAGCCGGGGCGGTCGTGGCCCTGGTTGACGGCGGCTCAGCGTGTGTGCGCTGCCCCCGGCTGGCCGGGCCCTGGGCTCCTGTGAGGAACCAGATTCTGGGATGGACGCGAGGAGCCGGACCCCACAGCGGCCGCTGGGGACTGAACTGCAGAAGGTGCCGGTTCCAGGGGACATGGAGCTGAGGCCCCTGCCCTCCTCAGGCCCCCGTGGGCTGCATCTGGAGTGGGGAGGGACTTTCTTGGGCATACGCTCTGCGGGCCATGCTGTGGGCGCCAGGAGCCGCCGTCGGCGTGCGTGAGACCACAGGGTGTTGGTCACTGATGCTGACAGCAGGGACGGAAAACTCCTGGTCACTTCCGTTTACCCTGCACACCCCAGCAGCTGCGCGCGGAGACGGGGCGTCCACCTGTGGGAGGAGGCCGCCGGGGGGGGGCTCGAGCCCTGACTCTGGGGCGACCCTGAGGTGGGAGGGGGCTGGGTGCAGCATCCTCCTGGTGGGTGGCCGGACACCGCCCAGGCCCCTGCAGGCGGCAGCCATGAGCACGTCCTCGCCCTGCACCCAAGCCAGGGCGGCCAGTAGGCGAGCGGCCAGGCGTCCTTGGCAGCTGGCCCCAGGTCCCAGCGACAGTTGCGAGGCCATCCCGCGAGGCTCCTGCCCGGGCAGGTGGGTGGGCGGTTGCGTCCAGTCCGTCTGTGCAGGGGCTGTGAGGACGGCATTGTTCCTCACGAGGGGCTTGGCTTGGTCTGTAGGTCTGATCTCCCGGCCCGTGTTCCCCCAGGAGACCGGCGGCTGTCTGGGCGCAGGAGGGCGGTGCTAGGGCTGCACCACATGCTGACATCTAGGGTGTCCTGTGGAGACCGGGCCCAGTGCCCACGGTGATGTCCTGTGCAGCTCCAGGGCCAGCAACGGGCAAGAGGCTGCCCCCTCCCCGGTGCGTGCGGTGGCCTTGCTCTGGCCTGCGGGCTGGGAGGGGTCTGCTGCATCTCGCAGTGTGCTGACCTCTGCGGGGGACGGGGCGTGGGGATGCGCGGGCCTGGGCTGGCCACCTCCTGCCCCCAGGGCTGCGCCTGGTGTCCTCCCAGTCCGGCTGTGGGTGAGCTGCAGAGACAGCAGGGGCCCCGGCCTGGCATGTGTGTGCCCAGGCCGGCAGGCTGTGACCCGGCGGGCTGCCTGCTTCCTTCCCAAGCGCCTCGTGCAGAGGCCAAGGGGGGACACACAGCAGGAGACGCTCAGGGTGTTTTGAAACCTGCCCCTTCCTGCCCTGCCTGGGCAGTGTTTACAAAGCAGACAAGCAAACAAGCTGACCTCCACGTCCAGTCCCGCCCGCGAGCGCCTCCCCCGCGGGCCTGTCTGCCGCCTGCACTCCCAGCACCGGCCGCGTGCCCTGGGGGCTGCTCCCCCAGAAGGAGTAGGGGGACTTTCTGGGGTGTCCGGTGCGGCTTCGCTTCCCTTTGTCACTGTGACTCGGTGACCGGGCCGTCCCCAGGCTGGAGCCTGCAGAGCTGCTGGTGGGTGCACGGCCAGGAGTTCGAGGGCCCTCACGGGCGAGAGCCTGATGCTGGCCCGGCCTTGGGTGGCCACATCTGCTCGGGCAGCGAGGGCTTCATCTCTGTGTCCCCCCAGACTTATCTGGCTGCTGGGAAAGAGCCATCGAGGGATGCTGCCAGCTCCCCACTTTCCAGCCCCACCTGAGCTGCGAGCACGCTCCTTCCCGGGGCCGGTCTCTGGAGAGTGTAGTAGCCCTGAGCTTGGGCACAGCTGGGCAGCTGCCCAGCCAGTCAGCCACGCTGGCCCTCAGCCGCTCTCTGGTGCTGGCGAAGATGCCCCAGGACGCCCCGACAGTCCGTGTGACTTGGTCAAGACCGCGTTGTCGGTAATGTGGACGCGCCCCCGCTGGGAGGGCGCCCGTTGGCAGGCACACCCTGGGCCCGAGGCTGTGTCCAGGGGGGTTCAGTCCTGGCGACGCCCCATAGCTGTGATGTCAAGGGTGCCAGGTGCCGTGCGAGGGCACCACTCAGGAGCATTTCGTCCGTGCCATGGAGGTGGTGGAGGGCTCTGGGGTCAGCCTGCGCCACCCCCCACGGGCCCTCTCAGCCTCGGGCTGGTGTGCCAGGGGCTCAGGCCCCCTCTGTACCGCCGTGCGGCCCATGGGCCGGGGCGTGGGGTGCTCGAGGCCCGTGGGGCCCTTGGGGCGTGTGGGGCGCTCGGGACAGTATTCCTCCCGCTTGTCCACGGTTGGCTCAGCGCGTCCTGTTTGCAGGGCTAGGTTGGGGGAGCCCCGAAAGTGTCCAGTCACACCTAGTTGAATGCAGCAGGGGAGCAACTGGCAGATCTGACTTCTCGGGTGAGGCACTGGGACAGTGTCCAGGGCCGGGGACGGCCTTGCACAGGGTCTGGGAAGGGCTGGTCGGCGCCGGGGCCCCCCAGCGCAGCGGGGGAGGGATGCCCAGGCGGCCCCGCAGGCATCAGCTTCTGCCCCTTCCTCCCTGGTCTGGCAAGGCCACTCACGGGCCCCGGATCCCCAAGCTTAAGCCCCAGGGGCATCTGGAGTGAGGGTTCGGGAAGCTGCCGGCCAGGGGACCCACAGTCTGCGGCCAGGCCCCTTGGACATCCCTCCCCACCGGGGCCGCCCGGCACGTCCTGCTGCTTCCCTCGTAGAAAGGGCGTCGCTGGCTGCCTGGCCCTGCTAGGCCCGACGCGAAGGCCCAAGGGGCAGAGGGGTACGTCCTCTGCGGCGCCTCGGCGAGGCTGCTGTGTGGGGGCCTGAGACCGCCGGCCGCGGGGGCCCCCAGCTCTGCACCGAGTGTGGCCTGGGTGGTCACCACGGGGCCCCAGCGTGTGTCTTGAGGAAGGGCTGTCGCGCCGGCGCTTGACCCCGGGAATAACTGAGGTAGCGCGTGGGGCGGCCCAGATGCAATGGAGTGGGGGTGCCCGGACGTGGGGGGCGCGGGGGGGCACGCCCAGACACTGGGGGTGCCCCGGACGCGCCCCCACCTCTCCGCTCCCTCTCCCTTTTTCTTACTCCCCTTTGTTCCTCCCTTATAAAAATGAGGCGTTAGGGTAAACATCCGCTAATTAACGAGTCTGAGTCTGCCTTTTAAAGTAATCAAAGGCCGTGTTTTTGTGGGATGTTATTTGGAGGGTTTGGGAGGCCGAGAGACGCCTTTTCCGGTGGGCGGGCGGGGCAGACCCCCTCTCTGGGCGCTCGAGGAGTTAAAGACGGGGATGCAGAGGCCAGACGGCTTGTTTCCTTCTATTTATAAGCTCCTCTGCACAGCCCGCTGGCCCATGAGGCGCTTTTTCCACCAAGGAAACTTTCCTTGGCGAGGCGGGCAGGAGTGGATGCTTTCCCTAGGACGCGGCCATCCCTGCAGCCCTCTCCGGCGCCTGTCCAGAGCGAGCGTGTGCCGAGGCCGGGATCAGGGAGGCCTGGCTCCTAGGCTGCTCTGGACGGGGCTGCAGCCGCCCTCTGGGGCGGTGCCCGTGGCCCTGGCTGCGTGTGGGACCCCCAGAGCCGCAGGCAGCTCGCTGCACAGCAAGGGGGGCCAGGGGCTGCGCTCGGCTGCTAGGGGCCTGGCCTCCTGCTCCCTCCCACCGCACCCCGGGTGCTGGGGCCAGCTGGATTGCAGGCACCTCGGTGCTCCAGGGAGGGACACTCTGGGCTGCAGAGACGGGCTGTGGGGCGACAGAGAATGGTGTGGGTGCCGGCCCCCACCCCAGGGCCCTCGGCAGCCTGCCCACGCACCCTGCGAGGCCTCACCCTCTCTGCCCTGGCCCCGGCCTCACCAGTCCTCCCCATGTCTCAGAAGAGCCTGCTCCTTCTCCAGCAGCAACTCCTCCAGGAAGTCTGCCCAGGTCACTCCAAACCAACTTGCTCCCCTGGACCCTGTGATGCCTCTGCTAGGGCCAGTCCTTGACCCCAGGTGTCGCCGACCATTGGCCCGAGCGTCTCAGCATGTCAGTGTGTGGGGCTGGGCTTCAGGACAGGGCCGGCCGGTGGGTGTCCACTGCCTGTCAGACTGGGGTCTCCCAGTAAGTATGGATGGGCAGAGTGGTGGGGCAGCAGGGGTGGGACTCGGCTTTGCTCCTGCATGGTCTGTGCTGTCCTCCTGGGCATAACCCTGGGACTTCTGTGTCCATTTTCAGATCGTTCTGTCACCCACATGCTTGGTGCCCTCGGCACGTGGTCAGAGCCCGACGGGGGAGTCTCCCTACCCCTGCCCCCATCCCAGCGGTGCATGCCTGTTGCCTCCACCCCTGTCCTGGCCCCCAGATGCCCCTCACACCTGCCGCCGCTGAGGTTATTGCCCAGCCAGGGACTGGGGGCCTCATGCTGGCCTGAAGCCTTCCAGGGGACACGCCTGTGCCCCCCACCAGTGGCCATGTCAAGCAGTGGCCACACCTAGTGGGGAGAGGGGTGGCCCTGGGGAGCGGGAGGCTGCGGCGGCTTCGTGGTGGCCAGCGCGTGCTGGAAAGTGCCGCCTGCCCCCATCAAGCGCGCAGCTGTGCCTGTGTCACCACCGCGCTCGAGTGGCAGGGAGCGCTTCCAGAATGTTCCCTATCCTCCGGCAGGTCAGCCACAGGCCGACAGGGGCTGAGCCAGCTGCTCCCTGGCAGTGGCAGGGCCACCCCCTCCCTGTGACTCAGGCTTCCAGAAGTCACAGAGGCGACCCGGGATTGAGGCAGCCTGGGCACGGGGGCACCGCATGGGCTCCCCACCTGCTGTCCTCCGTCCTCGGAGGTTCCCAGGCAGGCCCAGGGTGCAGAGGGCCTCTCACAGCCTGCCCACACCGTCTCTGAGGCCCACCCATGGTGTCTTGAGACCCTGGCAGTGCCAGGGACGCGCCTGTGTAGTGCCTGAGAGACGGCTGGGCCATCCGGAAAGGCCGTCCACCGCTCCCCAGCCAGGCCCAGTGCGGGGTGTGAGGGCCCCATCATTCTCCAGCCAGCTGCACCTGCTTCCCTCCAGCCTGAGGCTGCGAGAGCCAGGGCTGCCCCTGAACCCGCTGGTCCATGCAGCTCCTGGGGCACGGGAGCTCCTGTGGGGGATGGGGTGACCGTGGCCAGTGTGACCGTGGCCCAGGAAGCTAGTCCAGGCCTGCAGAGCCGTCGGTTCTGCCTGCCCATGTGGCTGGGGCTGTCTGTGCAGGTGTGTCTGGCGCAGGGGGCTCACACCTTCGGGGGGTCACCTGCTCCTTGTTGCTCCATAGCCTGTTCTGGGTGTGCTGCTGCCCAGTGGTCATCCGTGGCTCCAAGGCTCTGCCTGTGTCCCCACTGCCTGCGGCCTGCTGGTTGTCGGGCTGTGGCTGTGGTGCTCCGGGCCTCGACTGGGCCCTGCGTCCTCCAGGGCTCCTTGCGGCCACAGCTGCCGGCCACACCATCCTGTGGTGCACAGCGGCATGGCCCGGGCAGGAGAGACCGGCATTGTCATGTGGACCTGTGCTGTGGCCTCAGCCCCACGGCAGCCACCTTTGGCCTCCGTCACTGCCCAAGGGCTGGGTGGAAGCAGAGGGGCAGCCCCGCATCTCGGGTGTCTTCCCTGCTGGGCAGGCCTTGCAATACTTCACTCCGACCGTCCTCTGTCCACCGGTGTCCCTGGAGGAGGCCGAGGAGCAGAGGGCCTTCCGAATTGGGTCCCGGAGGGGTTGGGAAGGAGGCGCCGTGGGCCTGCTCCCTGTTCTCCATTCCCTGCAGAGATGCAGGTCTGTCTGGGCGGCAGGTGGGGGTCGCCATGTGCCCCTCTGGTGCCGTGGGTGAGGTGGCCAGCTCTTGCTGGGCAGTGCACCCCTCCTGGCCACCCACTTAGGCACAAAGGCGGCTTGGCTTTAGAAACCACCGACGGTGAGGCCAAAGGTGGGGGAGGCGCGTCCACCACCAGCCCTCCTGCTCTGCTGGGTGGCAGGCACAGCTGGAGAAGACTCCAGGAGCCTGGTGTGCATGCATGAGGCGCACTCCCCCATCAGCCTGCTGTGTTCCCAGGGCCTGGATCTGGCCTCTCTAAGTCTGGTGCCACCTGCAGGGTGCAGCCCCGCCCACAGGGGGTTATGGTGTGACCCATGCTGGCCCCACCTACAGGGGTTGTGGCCCTGCACTGGCCCCACCCACAGGGGGGTGTGGCCCTGCCTCCCCGACACCCACTTGGCCTCCCGGCTCCATTCACCTGAACCCGGAGGGGCATGTGTGACTGTGCCTGCCTGCGTGCATGTGTGAGCATGCCCTGCCTAGGTGCTCACAAGCACCACCTGGTGACACAGGCGGGCACAGAAGAGGGGTGCTCTGCCGCACTCAGTGTGGGGGCTGGGGGTGCGTCTCCCAGTAGAGGCCGAGGGCTACAGGGACTCCAGGCTCAGGCAGGGTCGCCAAGTCTGCAGGGCTGTGCCACCGCCGACCTGTTTGCTCCTAGGGCCGGGCTGGGCCTGCGCGTTGGCCATGGGGGCAGCGTGTCTGGACCCTGGGCACCCCGGCCCTCCTCTGTCTGAGCTGGGAGCTAGCGCGGAGGCTGCGGTGGGGCGGCAGGGCTGAAGCGGGTTGGTTTGGGGCTTGGGGGTGCCCCATGTGTCCAAACCTTGTGGACACCACCCACCCCCCCGCCTCGGGCCCCGCTCCAGGATGTGGGGCGGCCATGCGTCAGGCCCCTCTCCAGGCCTCTGCCTCACCCTTGGCCAGAGTCTGGAAGGGACGGCGTTGCCCCACTGGAACGTGGGGGCTTTTCAAAAAGATTTTATGAAATTTAGGCAGACATGGAAATATCTACATGTTTATTTTTAAGTGTCCTTTTGAAATGTTGAATCCTTGTTGGCTGGCTCATAAGGAGAAGCTCATACTGGATACATTTAGAGGAGAAAGAAATGATTTTTCAAATTAAGTTTGTCTCTATTTTTCTTTTTAAATCGAAAAGAGCTTGGAAAATGTCTCCACCCTCTTGTGGCTGCTGTATTTTCCTGGCTTCTCAGTGCGGGGCAGCCACTGCGCCCCACTGAGGCATCCGTCCTCTGGGCCTGGACCCCGTGGACCTGGCTCCTGCCGCGTCTGGAAGGAGATGCCTCTCTCCTTCCCTGGTAGCAGTAGGAACGCCGGGGAGGCCGTGCCGTGCCCGCGGGAAGAGGACATCCTCTGAGGGAAGTCGAGGCAGTGGTGATACCCAGGGCGGGGTCGGGTGCAGGGACTTGCTTGACCGCTTGGAAGTCCCTCCTCAGGTGCGTCAGCGCCTGCTTCCTCGGGGCTGCCCACCTGCCCTGGAGGCCTGTCCCCTCCCCTGCCCGCCTCCCGGTCAGATCCAGGCCCCTCCCCATCCTGGGCAGGGTTCACGCTGCACGTCCGTGCCCAGATCTCCACTCCAGCCACAGGGTCTTGGCCACCAGCCAGGGCTCGGAAGCTCTCCCAGCCCTCCGCTGCTGGCCCCCCGCCCCCTGCTGCCCACGCAGCACTGCCCACCTCTCGGGCCTGGCCACGTCCCCTCTGAAATCCAGGCAGTGGCCTGACGAGGCCCTGCCGGGGCGGTGGGGGGTGGTGCTGCCTCCTGGGGCTGCTGCCGCTTGGCGGGGACAGGCGCTGGTGCCGGGATGGCATGCGCCTCCTTCCCCATCTGCCTTCCATCGGGAGGGAGAGGCCAGATATTCCAGAGCATCTGAACCAAGCCTTCTGGCATTTATTTTGGGACATTATTAGTGCTCATTTCACTTCATTCACGACGCCAGCTGGCAGAGCAGAGGCGCCCGCTGAACCGGAGGCCAGAGGCTGCCCGCGGCCCCTCCCGCCTGGAGGCCGCCAGCCCCGGCAGCCAGCAGGTCTCATGCTGGCTCCTGCCTCACCTGACTTTCCCCTGGGGGTGGGCAGCCACCCCAGACTCCACAGACTTGAGGCCTGGCCCCTTGGTGCCTCTGGACACCAGGTGTCCCCACCGACTCTGGTCCACCCTGCCCGGCTCAGCCCGTGGGGTGCACCGGAGCCCGGCTCGCTGGCCCGGCCTCTGCAGTCCCCAGCACTTCTCCTCATCTCTGGTTCTCACTGCACCCCCCGTCGGAGCACCCCCAGGCGGATCCGGAGGCCAGCTCCCGCCTCCGTCAGCACCAGCTGCCCTCACCGCGAGCCCTGCGGGCGTGGGGCGGCGGGGCTGGGGCTGGGACTTCGGGCCACAGGCGAGGACGAGGGCTGGCGATGGCCGTGGGGACGGCTGCTCTCGGGACAGCCGCCTGCCCGGACTCCAGGCCGGGCTCCACGGCAGCTGGGACCTGCCTTCCAGAGCTCGGGCCTTTGTGTCAGGGCCAAGGGGAGTGTGCGAGAGCGTGGGCGTGCGGGGACGTGAGAGAGTGCGGGTGTGTGCATGTGCGGGCGTGAGGGGGCGCGGGGACGTGTGTGGGGGTGCAGGGATGTGAGCGGTTGCGGGGCGTGGCAGGCGTGGGGAGGGCGTGCGGGGGTGCGGTGTGCACCTGTGGTGTTTCGACAAGTGTGTCTGGTCCCGGGCTGGACTCGGGAACAGTGAGGGACAGGAGCGGCGCCTGCCCGAGGGTGGCATGGGGCCCGGAAGCTTCTGAGGAGCGGAGGCGGCAGCCGCCCGCCGGGTGACCCAGGTGCAGCCCCGGGCAGCAGGAGGTGTGGACAGGGGTTAGGGTGCTGCCTGTCACCCGGGCTGCAGTGACACTGATATTGGCGGAGAAATCGGGCCACGCCAGGAGCTCGGCACCCGTGGGGGGCTGAGGGGTTGAGGACCTGCGGCCAGGCTGTGGGGGGTGCGCAGCGGGCGCAGGGGCGGCTCCCGCAGGCCTCCCGGCCGAGACGCCAAGCAACACGTCACATGGCCTCTCAGGCCGCCAGGAGGCCCCTGAGCCCGTGACACCCAGAGCCGGGACTGGCGGCCCCGGGCATGGTGCTGAGTCCTCCCTGGGGGCAGGGCTTGGCAGCCCCCAGGGGTCAGGGCGGCCAGAGAACCCTGTCCTGGGCAGCTGGGTCCAGGCCGCAGCCCCCGTGGACATGCCGTGTGTGGGGGGACCCGGCGGTGGAGCTGGCTCCCGGGGGCCGCCCTGCCTGCAGGGCCCCGCCTGCCTCCTGCTCCCCGCATGGCCACCCCAGGCCGTCATCTTGAACGCTTGCTCTCGGGGCGTTCTGGGCGGCCCTCACAGTCGGCATATCGGGGCGGCCTCCCCTTGGGCCTGGCTGAGGCGGCCCCGCCGAGGGAATAAACAGGCCAGGGCCCCGTGGCCTGGGTGCCAGCCAGGCGTGGGAGGCCGGCCGGCCCAGCACTGGGTGTTTGCCCAGGTGTCCTGGACAGACCAGCCTGCCGTGGGGGCTGGAGAGGGGCCGGGGGCCCAAGCCAGGAAGCCAGAGGGGTTCCTGCTGTGTTGGGGGCCAGCAGGCTTCTGGGAGCGGCGGCCCCGCGGTCACCGGCTGGGCGGGCTGGCAGGCGCGGCTCCCGCTGTGTGGCCGGCGGCCTCCAGGCCCCGCGCTGACAAAGCAGCTCTGTCCTCCCGGCCTCAGCAGAGAGGAGCGGCCGGGAGCGTTCCGGCCGCCCTCCTGAGCCGGGTCAGGGCCAGGGCCAGGGCCAGGGCCAGGCAGGTACACCTCCGCTGTCCTCTGGGGGCCGGGCCCACAGGGGCCGCCCTGCGCCGGCATCACCACGGTGTGCAGATTCAGACTCACCGTCAGCTCTCCCTGCGGCGAATCCAGATGCTCGCGTGAGCTTTCTCGGTCTGCGAAACTCGTAACAGCGCTCCGGGCTGAGCCCACAGCCGTGGCCCGACGGGCCGGCGCCGATGCAGACCTCGGCCTGAGAGCGAGGCCCGGGTAGCGACGGCAGAGGTCATGGGGGCGCAGAGTTCGCGGGGTGACAGTCCGAGGTCACAGGGGACAGCAGGGGGCATGGGGTGATGGCGGAGGTGGGGGGAGACAGGTGCTAGGGGGGCCCCAAAGTCGGCAGAGCAGAGGCACATAATGTCCCAGCTCTCCCAGCAGACAGGAGCGGGGCAGGGTCCTGCTGCCCTCTGGCGTGGGTGCGGGCACGCGGCGCCGGGAGAGGCCCAGCTCCTCTTGGGTGTTTCTGTGCTGAGATGGCTGCCTCCGGGGTGGGGGGAGCCTCCCTCTCCCTCCCTGCCTCTTCTCTGTCCACGCCCACCCTTGGGCCCCCAGAGGCCCTCCCAGCAGGCTCGGGCCAGTGACAGGCTGGGGGCCGGCGGCCGACTGGTCAAGGCAGCGGGCCATGTGGGTGGGCATTTGCAGACAGGGGGTCAGGCCAGCTGATCACTCACCGGCACTGGCTCCCACCTGGACGTCAGGGGTGGCGCCCCCTGTGGGTCACGGAGGGCGGGGTCGGGCTTCCAGTGTGGTAGCTTGAATTCCTGCTGGAAGGCGCGTCTGCTCCGGGGCAGAACATGTCCTCCCACCTCTCAGACAAGCCCCGGGGGTTGCCAGGCCACAGAGGTGCTGAGGCCACCGTCTGTCCCCCACAAGCCAGCTCTTGCCCCCCAGCGTGTGCGGCAGGTGGTGGCAGAGGGCACGGGCATCTGTGGGTGGGGCGCCCGGGGAAGCAGCTGTTCAGTGGCACCTGGGGTGGTTCAGAGAACAAGGGTGGATGCAGCAGGGGGGTGCCCAGGAGCTGGGGGGGCTGTGGGAAGGTGGGAGTCAGAGGAGGCCCTGCTGCTGTGCGGCGGCGCCCAGACCGGCCAGGTGGGGGTGGGGGGTACCCGTGACAGGCTCTCAGTCAGGTGTGACTGAGGCAGATGAGGCTGGGGGGCTGGGGCAGGCTCCGGTGTCCCTGCTGCTCGGGTGACACTCTCTGGTTGGAAGCGAGCGCCATGCCACCTCCTCCTGCCCCCACCAGGTTGGGGGCCCCTCCGTGAGCGTGCAGGGCTGCAGCGTTGAGGCTGGGGAGGAGTCTCGTGCTCAGATCTGCCCCGGGGAGCCAGCGCATACTCCTCCAACCCTGTTCCTGGCCCCGACCTGGGACAGAGGACAGCTTGGGGGGGCCCCCAGCCCCTGAGCCCGGGGTCCCTGCTGTGGCGGCAGGAGAGGGCTCGCATTTTGCAGAAACTTCCTGGAGCCTCGGCAAAAGTGGGCACATGTGGGGTGACTTCAGGCCAGGCAGCGCCTTCCCAGCTGCTGATGGGGTGTTGTGGTTAAGCTGCTGCTGCTGAAGTGTTTATGGCTGCCCCAGCCAGTGGGCGCCCCATGGCGGGGGGAGGGGGCTCGAGGGGCCATGCGCTGACTTAGCCTGGGGACGAGGAGGCTGATCTGACCCTTCCGCCACGGCTGGGCCCCCCCACGCCCCCTCCCCCCTGCCGCTCCTGCTCCCGCCAGGCTATGGCCAGCGCCTCCCTCTCTCTGGCAGGGGGTCCTACTGGCCAGACAGCGCCTGGCTCGATGGTCCTTGCAGCAGATCTGGGGGCGGGGATGCCAGACCTGCCTGGAGGGCCGGTGGCCGGGCCCATGTGCAGAAGGGGGCCCAGAAGAACAGGCGTCTGACAGGGGATGCTGGGGCGGGGCCACCGCAGAGGGTGCGCTGGAGAAACCGCATACCGTGCGGGCCTGCTGCTGGGGACAGACGGCTGCCCTTGGCTGCCACCCTGCTGCCCTCTCTCCCGCTGCAGCTGCCTCTAGCCCAGGGTGCAGGGGCGCCGCCCCATCCCCAGTGAACACGCTGGCCCTGAGGGCTCCATGCAGCGCCTCCCGCTCAGCGGCAGCTCTGGGAGGACGGGGCACGGCCCAGCTCCCCAGGCGGTATCCCGTCCACGAGGCAGACCCCTTGGCGAGGCTCCTCGAGGTTCAGTGGGTCCCTCTGAACAGAATGGACTCTGAGGGAGAGTGTCCGGCTGCGTCCTGGGGCCCTGCGCCAGCTCCATTGGGTTCTCCTGCCCTGGTCCGGGGCGCGTCCACAGAGCAGGAGTGTTCTAGATCCACACTGCCCCGCAGTGACCACCAGCTGCAGATGGCGCTCGAGCCGGCTCCAAGCCCAGCTGGTCTTAGTTGCAGCCAGGTGTCCATCACCACCTGCACCAGCACCAGCACATGGACGGGGCAGGAGCCTTGAGGGGGGCCATGGGCAGTGCACCCCACCCCCCGCCCCCGAGTGCTGCGTCCTCTCCTGCAAGGTCCGGCCTGTGCCAGGCAGGGCTGCCCTTGCCTTCTGGGGCCTGCGTGGGCAGGGGAGGGCCGGCCAGGCCCGGGCTCTAGTAACACTGCCCTGTCTCCTCTTGCTCTGCAGGTGACGGGCTGGCCGGGCTGCTGTGGGCAGGTCTACCTGCAGGCAGAGCCGAGGCCCAGCACCTGGTGGAGGCAGCAGCGAGGACTGGCAGGCAGAGCCTCCATGGGGACAGAGCAGCAGCTGGCCAGGGAGCGCTGAGCTTCTGGAAAACCTCACCTCCCGCTGGGAAGCCTAGGGCAGCCCAGCAGCCTCCTCCACAGAGGTACCACCGAGGCCCGCTCCCCTGGCCGGGGCCAGCTCAGCCAGCGGCCCAGCCTGGGCAGCAGCGTGTCCTGCAGACTTGCGGCACTGTGGCCAGCCTGCGGCCCCGACAGCCAGGGCCACCCAGAGAGCCTGCTGTGGCCGCCAGAAGCTGTCTTCCCTGGGTCCGAGTCTGAGCACCCGGTGCCCACCCTGCGCCCCAAGCGGACGGCCTGATGGACACACAGCCTCCCCACCTCAGGACACAGCGGCTGCGCAGCTCCTGCCCAAGCACGTCGTGCGCCCCTCCAGAGAGACTTGGTCTTTGAATTGATGTCGACACAGCCAGGAGATGAGACATCCAGCCGGCCACCCCCACCCCGTGGCCTTGCCAGGGTGACCACCCAGGGGCTGCCAGCTCCAGGAGGCCTCATCCCTCTCTCAGGAGACGCAACACCCGGCTGTGAGCCTGGCCCGAGGGGACCTGGGGCCTCGAGGCAGCAGCACAGCAGCGGGCTCCCTAGGGTGTCTACACTGGCCGGTCCTTGAGTTCAGGACCCGCTTCGCCTGGGGCTGTGGGACTGTCCAGGCCCTGAGTCCTTTCCTTCTGCTGCTAAGAGCAGGGACCGACTCCTCCGGGCTGTGGGAGAGACGCGGCCAGAGCCGCTGGGCATGAGCCCAGGCCAGCCGGGGCAGGAAGGCCCCTGGTTCTCTGCAGACCGGGCTGGACAGAAGGCCTTCAGGACAGGCTGCAGACTCCCTGTCTCGTCCCTCCCTCCCTCCCTCCCCTGCCCAGGGCGCTGGGAGGGAAGGGGGGCGGGGCCCTGGCTGCACTCGCAGGAGCCCCACACGGAGCCCCACACGTGCCCTAGCGACGCCTGAGCCCTGTGGCCATGGTGGGGGCCCTTGCTGGGGGATACACAGCCTCCCCAAGCCGGCGCAGGGCCCGCCCCGTGGCTCGCCTTTCTGGAAGGGAATTGGTGTGTCCCTCAGGCTCCTGCCGAGGGTTGTCTACACGGACTCCCACGCTCACCCCGAGATGCGGGACAGGGACCAACGAGGGGCTCCAACATGAGAGCTCAGTGAAGCGGGATCTAGTCCCCACAGGAAGCAGCCTCTTGTCCAGGCGGCCTCCGCTTGGCTGGGCCAGGCCCTCCTCGGAGCCGCTGCAATACATGCGTGGGCTCTGCCACAGCGGGGCTGCGGTCAGCCCTCCCGCCCACGGTCCAGCAGCGGAGGAAGGGTCCTTCCCTTCAGGGAAGTGGAGCCGTCCCTGACCCTGCCTAGCTAGCACCGCCTTCCAGGGCCCGCAGGAAGGGCCAGGGCCCCCAGCACAGTCCCCAGTGCCCGCCACTGTCCCCGTCCCTCCCGGGCCTCAGGCGCAGGGGCTGGCCCTTAGCGCCGCGGGTTGCTGTCCACACGTGTCTAGACGTGCAGGTGGACAGAACGAGCCACTGCACCCCTGTTGGTCAGGGAGGAGCCGGGGCCGACAGGCCGGTCCTGCTGCCTGGCCCAGCTCCTGTCCTTGTGGCTCTGAGGATGGGGCTTCCACGAGGGGAGAGGCTGGGCTTCGGGGCTCGGTGGGATAGGGCCGGGCAGGAGCTGCTGGGCCTGGCCCTCGCCCACGTGAGCGTGTGAGGCCATCCCCATGCAGTCCACCCGCAAGGCTGCAGCCTGACCATTCTTCTCCCGCAGGCCCAGGATGGCAGCTGCGGGCCGGCCGGCCTCTTTCAGGGCACTGCTGACGGCGGGCTACCTGCTGCTGGCTGGTGGGCCCAGGGCCACCCCCACAGGTGAGTCCCTGCCGGGCGGCTCCCAGAGAAAGGCTGGACAGAGCTGGCCACAGGCTGGGCCCGTAGGGTCCACAGGGGGCCGGCCAGTGAGCCAGCCAGGGAGGACTGAGGGCCACCCACTGCCTACAGGAGGGTAGGTCCCTGTTGCAGGGTCTTCGGCATTTTTGTGAGGAGCCAGGAATTGAGGTTTTTACCTAAAATTCCCCCTCTTGTTAAATGTTAAGTCCAAGTTTTAGAATCCACTTTGGGGAACTGGGGAGAAGCCACAGGTTGAGGCGTGATCAGCGCTTGTCCCTGCCCGGAGCCCCACGGCTGCTGGGGAGGCGCCAAGTGGGGGCTAGGGACCGTCCCCCCAGCTCTGAGGGCCCAGGAGCAGGAGGTGCGGCGGGCCCTGGGCTGGGGTGAACAGCGCGCCCTCCCGGCAGCGGCGGTGGAGTGTCCCGACCAGCGCCCGGAGCTGCAGCCCTGGAGCCCCAGCCATGACCCGGACCGGCGGGTGCACGTCGGCCGTGGCCAGGCCCTGCTGCTCAGCGCGTCTGCTACTGTCCACTCAGTCCACATCTCCCAGGGAGGTGAGCCTGCGGCCGCACGGCCATCCCCCGGGACGAGGTGGCGCTGCGCCCACCCCCACGCCTCCAAACCTGCTGCTGCCGCCCCACAGGACAGCTGGTCATCAAAGACCAGGAGGCGCCCATCGTCCTGCGCACCCGGCACATCCTGATTGAGGACGGGGGCGAGCTGCACGCGGGGAGCGCCCTCTGCCCCTACCAGGGCAGCTTCAGCATTGTCCTGTATGGAAGGTGGGTTGCGGCTCCGAGGCGGGGAGAGATGGGGGGCGCACTCGTTGCCAGAGGAGCAGGAGGGAGGGCGGCTCCAGAGTGCTGCCCTGGGGCCAGGGGGCTGGGCCAGGCCTGTTCCCCTGGCAGCCCCGTGGCTCACACCAGGGGCCGCCCTGGGATCCCTCAAGATGCACAGATAAGAAAACCCTGCAGCCTGGCCTTGAGCGTGCTAAGAGCAGGCCAGGTGCAGGCCGCGCGGGGCTGTGTCCATGCTGGCGTGACCAGCGCTCAGCATCGGCCAGCACAGAGGAAGGGCAGAGCTCCAGTCTGGGGGCCAGGGCACCGTGGGGGAGGCGTGGGCTGGCCATCTCGAAGACCCACAGGTCACCTGCTGCCTGGCGGGGGCCCAGGTGCCAGAGCAGGCTGCCCCTGGGCGTGGGCGCTGAGAGCTGCTCTTGCCAAAGGGCTGACGATGGGGAGCAGTCCAACTCCTACTTCGGCCGGAAGTACATTGGCGTGGGCAGAGGGGGCATCCTGGAGCTGCACGGGCGCAAGAAACTGGCCTGGACGTTCCTGAACAAGACCCTGCACCCCGGAGGCATGGAGGAGGGGGGCTATTTCTTTGAAAGAAGCTGGGGTCACCGTGGGATCATCGTTCATGTCATTGACCCCCAAGCGGGCACCGTCATCCATTCTGACCGGTAAGGTGTGCCTCCAGCTAGGCGCGCACATGTGCACCCAACACACATGCGTGCACACCATCCTCAGGCACCCACGCCCAGGCACACCCCCTTCAGGCACCCACGTCCGAGCACACCTGCCCGCAGGCACCCACACCTGAGCACACCTGCCCGCAGACCTGCCCGCAGGCACCCACAGGCATGCCCGCGTCTTGGGCCGTGGCTGGGAACCCCAGACTCCCCACCCTCGCAGGTTCGACACCTACCACTCCAAGCAGGAGAGCGAGCGGCTGGCGCGCTACCTGAGCGCCGTGCCCAACGGCAGGGTCTTGTCAGTGGCTGTGAACGACGAAGGCTCCCGGCACCTGGATGACGTGGCCCGGAAAGCCATGACCAGGCTGGGCAGCAAGCACTTCCTGCACCTGGGCTTCAGGTACAGCCTCCATGGCCAGCCGTGCCAGACGGCAGACAAGGCCTCCCGTCCCTGCAGAAGCGCCCATCCCCGACCATGGCACCCCAGGAGGCTGTCCGCCTGCAGCGAGCGCCCAGCACCCGCCAGTCAGCACACCCTGGGCGGGCAGTGGCCCAGGGGGCGGGCGATGCCCACCCTCTCCCAGCATGCTGGCAGCCCCCACTCAAGTGCCCAAGGGTCCGCCCTGGCCAGGCCTCTCGGCTGCCCTGCCCCTCCACGCTCTGTGCCCAGGAGTGGGGTGCTGTCCACGGGTCTGGGCTGCTGATGGAGGAGGCGTAAGCTTCCTGGCTCCTCCCTCCTTGCCCGCCCTCCCCCTGCCCCACCCTCTCTCCTGCCCACCCCCCAGCCCCTTCCCTTCCATCCTGCTTCCTTCTCCCCTCCCCCTCCCCGGGCCCTGCATCTCCTGGGCGTGGTCCCAGGGTCTGGGCCGTCCTCCCCCCCACCCCCACCCTGCTCACCGGGCAGGGAGGCTCGGCTGGTCCCCTGGAGGGGCCCAGCCCCGTGACAGATGGCGCGGCTGTGGCTGCACAGCTCAGCCAGCTCAGCTCTGCCGGGCGGCTCAGGCTGGACGGTGTCCTGTCCCCGGCTGTTCTCAGACACCCCTGGAGCTTCCTGACCGTGAAGGGAAACCCGTCGGCTTCCGTGGAAGAGCACGTGGAGTTCCACGGTAACCCTTGCCACAGGCTCTCGGGCCTCTGCCGGGGCTGGGGTCTCCCGAGGCTGCGGGCCTCCACACTGCTGCCCCTCCCCGCCCAGCTGCACGGCCGCCCGGTCCGAGGGAGGGTCGGCCGGAGACGGCCCTGGGGAGCGCGGCCCGCGGCCGGCCTTCCTCTGAGCGGGGCGGGGCGGGCCCTGGCTGGGTCTCCACAGGACACCGCGGCTCGGTGGCCGCCCGCGTCTCCAAGCTGTTCCACACTGCCCAGGGCGAGTGCTTCCGCGTGTCCTCCTCCAGCGAGTGGGTGCAAGGTGAGGTGGGGTCCTGCTCGCGCCGGGGGCTGTGGCGCTGTCATGGCAGGGGCGTCACGGGAGGGGCTGCTCAAGGCAGGGGCGGCTGCGGTGCTGGGCGAGTATGGGGCCCGCCCGGGCCTGCCGGCTGGCCCAGCTGCCTGTCCACCCTGAGCTGCGCTTCGGCCTAGATGTGGAGTGGACGGAGTGGCTGGACCACGACAAGCTGCCGACCATGAAGGGTGGAGAGAAGACCCCGGACCTCCGGGCCGTGGCCCCGGGAAAGATCTGCCCTCGCCCCCTCGACGTCCAGGTACTGCTGGGAACTCAAACCCTAGAGGGGCCTAGACGGGGTGTCCCCCACAACCCCCCACATGGTTCTCCTGTTAGACTGAAAGGGGGGCTCCTTTGTCTGCCCCGGGCCCCCGCCAGGGAGTCCGGAGCCAGACTCCACTCTGGGTGGACCCTCCCTCCCAGGCCCCTTCCTGCTCTGCTGCCGGCTCCTCTGGCCTGCCTGAGCCCCAGCCCCAGGTCCTCTGCACCCCCCAGCAGAACCCCCAGCAGAACCCGCACCCCCGCTCTGCATGGCACAGGGCCCCAGGGCAGGAGAGACTCCCAGGCCGCGCCGCCTGCGCTGGCAACGGCGGACAGAGCCGCCCGGCCCCGCCTGGTCCCTTTGGTGTGGGTGCCAAGAGGACACAGCTGCAGCCTCGTCTGAGCCGCTCTGACGGCAGCTGCACAGCCCTCCTGAGCCCTCGCCCCAAGCTCCCACCTGGCCTTGAAGGCGCTACGCAGCTGGCACCCCGGGGCCAGCACTGGCTGCTGCTGAGACCCGCCACCTGGTCCTGCTGTGGTGGCTACGGGGCCAGGACAGGGGGATATGGGCTGGACGCTGGCAGTGGGACTGGACCCGCTGCCACCTTCAGGCTCCGTGACCCGCCTGCATGCCCATCTCTGGTCAGGATGGCACGGGCAGCGGTGGCCTCGGGCTTTATGAAGGTGGATGAGGGAACGTGGGGACACTTGGCCCCAAGCCTCTGGAAGGGTCACTGCCCGAGCCCCCAGACTCTATCCAGCCTGAGACTCGGGGGGCCCGGTGCAAACGTGGTCAGGGTCTGTGATGTGGGGCCACGTCTGGCCACCTGTGGGCTGGGCCTGGAGCCCCAGGGTCTGGGTGATGGCCGCAGGGCAGGAGGGGTGCCAGGGCAGAGGGGCCGTCACCTAGCGCTGCTGCGGGGCTGGCTTGGCCTCTGTCAGCTGACCTAGGTGGGGGCGTGGGCACTGCCCTCGGGCTGCTCCTGGACAGCAAAGTTGAGGCCCGTGAGCTGTTGATAGCATGGGGTGCACCCTCCTTGTCCAGAGGGGAACTTTGCTCTGTGATCGCTGCACCAGGCCACCAGCGTGGACGGCACCAACCTCACCACCGAGGTCGTGCACAAGAGAGGCCAGGACTTCCGCTTCACGTGCCGCGACCGCTGGGGCCGCGCCTGCCAGCACTACCGTGTGCGCTTCCTATGCGGGAAGGCCGGTGAGCAGCCGGGCAGGGCTGGCCAGCTCTGGGTGCGCAGCTGCCCACGGGCGGGCAGGACTTGCCGGGACCCGGCCTCTGGTGTGGGACTGTAGCACAAGGTGGGGGGGCGGCGCCTCACAGGGGCTTGGAGTCGCTGCCCCTGCGGGGTGAGGGGTAGGCACCGCCAGTCTGGAGCGGGCCTGACCAGCGCCCCCTTGCGGTTCCAGCGAGGCCCAAGCTCACGGTCAGCATCGACACCAACGTGAACAGCACCACGCTGACCCTGGAGGACGACGTGCGGTCCTGGGAGCCGGGGGACACACTGGTGGTGGCCAGCACCGACTACTCCATGCACCAGGCCGAGGAGTTCCAGGTGCTGCCCTGCACGGCCTGCGCCCCCAACCAGGTCAGGGTGGCAGGTAGGCCCCGACCCGGCCAGCTCGCCAGCGGCCGGCGCCCACCAACCCGCGCAGCGAGGACCTTGGGCCTGGGCTGCTTTTCCCCAGAGGCACCTGCTCAGGCTGCAGGTCTCAGCCGAGGGGGTCGGCTCGGGCGCCTTTCGTGCAGGGCAGCAGGTGCAGGAGGAGCAGAAGCGTGGCCTGAGGGTCTCTGTCAGCTCGAGGGGATGTGAGGTGTGTGGCTGGGCTGCAGCCTCCCCGCCCTCCCCCAGGGTCCCGGGCACCCTGCCCGGCCAGTGGTGGCAGCGGGAGCAGCTCAGGTGGCAGAGGCGCGGGGCCTGGGGGCGGGCGCCAGGGTCCAGGAGCTGCGCGCCCGGGGCCTGGTGCTCGTGGTCACCTCCAGGGACTGTCAGGAGGGCTGTGGCTTGTGTGTGTCCCCGCCTCTTGGACGGGCCTCTGGAACGTGTCGAGTTGGGGAGGGTGCCCGGGACAGTCGGGCGTTCCCAGGAGAAGGCGGCTGCCGGGCGGCCAGGTGGCTGGCCCCGGCAGGGACGGCCGCCCAAGTGTGGTCACGCTGCTGCTCCTCTGGCTCCGCAGCTGTGGAAGGGGCAGCGGCAGGCTGGGCTCATCTGGAGAATGATGCTCTCTGGGGAAGGAGCCGGGAGCCGAGGTGGAGCTGAGCCCTGCTGGGGCTTGGAGTGGCCAGAGCTGGCCGGGAGGCTGGGGCGGCCGCGCAGGGGCTGGGCCCCGAGCCCTGTGCCTTGACGAGGGGAGCCGAGCGCCTGTCCTTACTCGTGAGTTTGCGCAAACCTCTGCCTCCTCCGTGCACGGCACGAGTCCCACGAAAACACCCGTCCAGGGAAGGCTCAGAAGGAACAGGCCGGGGAAGGCCGTGCGAGGAGGACCCCACAGGCCCTGTGACGGCGTCTGGAGAGCCGGGGATCCCCCAGCCTGTGCCTGGCCATGTGGGGGCAGGTGCTCCGCCCACCTCCGCTGGTACCGGGGGACGCTGGCCAGTCTGAGGCCGAGCCAGGGCGCCCTGGGCCAGGCGCTGTTCTCTGCCTCCGTGTCCTCCCTGTGAAGCAGGACGAGGCCGGAGGGCAAGGTCCACGCCCACCAGCCTGAGCCTCTGGGGCTCCTAGGGCAGCAGAGGGTGGCAGGAGGCAGCCAGGGGCTTGAGTGTCTTGGCAAGTGTGGATGGGACGAGGGCGGGGCAGGAGCTCCGAGGGAGCAGAGGGACGGTGGACACGGGGACTCTGGAGGCTCCCAGGGCCCCGGGTGGGCACACAGGACTAGGCCACGTCAGGGGGTGCAGGGCCTTCCTCTGCAGAGAGCCCTGTCCTTGGTTCCTCGGGCTCGGGGTGTGTGTAGGCACGTCCTTGTGCATGTGTGTGCACACGTGTCTGTCGGGGGTTCACGTTCCTCCTGCTCAGGACCCAAGCCCCGTCTCTGGCCTCCACCCCCAGGAGCCTGCTCTGTTCTCTCCCCTCCCCCGTGCTCCCCGAGCCCTCCAGCTGGCTGCAGAGAGGACCTGGCCTTCCCGGCACCCCCAACCCCCTGTCCTGACTTCCAGTAAACAGCCTTTTTACATATAGGGGCTTTCTGACAGGAAGCAGATGGGGGCAGCATGGTCATGAAAATGTGTGAATCATCTGAAAAAATAATTCCCAGCTCCGCGGCCACAGCATGACCCCGCGCCCAGCGTGGCACTTGGGAGGCGCCTCCGTGCCGCCCCTGTCTTGCCTCCCCCTTGGGTCTGTGCGCTCCGGGGGTGCCTGTCCCTGCCCGCCAGGGCTGCCTCTCCCCACCTCGTGGGCGGCGTGGCCCTGAGGGAGGACCGGCCACCCAGCGTGGGGACTGCACTTCAGGCAGTGTTACATGAAGCAGAGGTTTAGGGTCTGGGTGGTGGGCTAGGAGAGGCCCCTTGAGGCCCATGGGGAGGAGCTCCTCTGCTCAGGCCAGGCCCACTTCACCTGCTGCAGGTGCGGTGCCCTGGCCTGGGCTGGGGGGCGGGCAGCGGTGGGGTACACGGCCTTCCTGGGACAGCCCCAGGGCCTCGGGGCCCTCTGGTCCCAGCTGCACCTACGCGTCCACCCTCCCCCTCGGCCCCCATGGGGGCCTGGTTCCCTGCCCGACCCACAGAGGGGCTCAGCCCTAGGAGGGGTGCACTCATCTGAGTGGGCAGCTTGCTGCACCCCCACCTGCCGGCCTCCCCCCACCTCTGCACTCAGCCCTCCGGACCTTCCCAACACAGGCGGACTCGGGCACTGGTGTCCCTGGTGTCCTTCACATCTCAGAACTGGGGAGGGGGGAAAACAGAGGCCAGAGTGGGTGCAGGACGGGCAGCTGGGCCTGGGGGAGGCCCACAGCCTGGCAGCAGTGGGCGCAGGGGAGGGTGCAGGGGTGCGCGCTGCAGGGCCATGGAAGCGGGACCCAGCGGGGCTGCCTTGTCTGAGGCTTGGCTCCCCGAGGCTCCCACCTGGTGAGGCTGGCCCCACCCACACCTGCTCCAGCCCGGACGGAGATGGGGGGCAGCTCAGCTGTGGCCACTGCGAGGCGGGAGGGCTGTTCCTGGGAGTCGGGGCTGTACTCGGACTCCTGGCCTGGCAGGCGGGGGATGGAGCTGGACCCCACAGCCTCCCCCTGGCCTCCCCCACCTCACCCTGAGAGGGCCGGGCCGGGGCACAAGGCCGCAGAGGGACAGGAGAGCCGCCGGGCGCTGCGGCCCTGACCTCCTGGCCCTCCCCAGGGAAGCCCATGTACATGCACATGGGCACGGAGGTGGACGGCGTGGACATGCGCGCCGAGGTCGGGCTGCTGAGCCGGAACATCGTGGTGAGGGGCGAGATGGAGGCCGGGTGCTACCCCTACGCCAGGCACCTCTGCGACTTTTTCCACTTTGACACCTTCGGGGGCCACATGAAGGTGGGCGGCGCTGGCGGGCGGGGGCCGAGGCGGGGCGGGGTTCTGGGCGTCCATGGGTGAGCCTCCCCTGTTCAATGGCCGACACCCCAGGGCCCCCGGGAGCCCCGCGCCCCGGACTCGGGGTTAACGCCCCGGAATGACCCCGCGCCTGTGGTTCCCGGTGGAGGATTCTCTTGAAGCCAAAAGTGCTTCTTTAAAGACCGGGCAGGGCCGGGCCTTTGTGCCAGAGCGGCCTGGGCTGTGCGGTCCGCCCCCGGGCCCACATTCCAGGCCTCTGGGGGCGTGTGGAGAACCGGCGGGGCGTGCTCCGAGGCCGAGACCACCGCAGGGACAGAGACCCCCGCCCCCCACCCCTGGCCTCACTGCTCAGGGCGGCGCTCGGGCACCGCTGCCCTCTGACCTCCAGTGCGAGGTTGTTGGAGGGGCTGGTCCGTGTCCTTGGGTTGCCTCTCCCGGGGCACTGGCTGCACTTGGGTTCGCAGGAGCAGTTGTGGCTGTGCTCTCGTGGGGGTCCTGGGTGGCCGGGCCCCCAGACAAGCAGGAGGTGGGTGTGTGCCCCCAGCGCTCATGAGACCCCGCCCAGGGCCCAGCCCTTTGGCTTCCCAGCCCCGAGGGCAGCGGCCTCCAATCCCCCTCCTTGGTTCTGGTCGACCCTGCTCGCCACACCCATGGCTTTGGGGGGCTGACAGTGGTCACGGCCTCGACCAGCCCCTGCCACCTTTGCTCCAGGCAGGGTGCTGCCCCCGCAGCCCTCAGCTATGGGCACCTCGCCCTGGGTCCCCTGGGTGAGCGGCTGGGGTCTCTGGGAGGACACTGAGGACAACAGCTTGAAGGTGGGACCCAGCGAAGGCCGCCCTCGGAGCCCTCACCTCAGCTTCCCTCTCCCAGTTTGCTCTGGGGTTCAAGGCAGTGCACCTGGAGGGCGTGGAGCTGCGGCACATGGGCCAGCAGCTGGTGGGGCAGTACCCGCTGCACTTCCACCTGGCGGGCGACGTGGACGCCAAGGGGGGCTACGACCCGCCCACCTATGTCAGGGACCTGTCCATCCACCACACCTTCTCCCGCTGCGTCACCGTGCATGGCTCCAACGGCTTGTTGGTAAGCACCCCCGTCTGGGGAGCCGGGCTCCGGGGCACCTTGCCCCTCGCTGGGGCTCCTGAGAGGGACGTGGGCGCGGGGTCCTTCCCTGACTGGTGGAGAGACGGGCCTGCCAGCGGCAGGCAGGGCCCAGGGACCACCCGCGCCAGCCCTGCCTCCGTTGGCGCTTGGGGCAGTGCTGCTGGACGGGGCAGCGCAGACACCCTTGACCCCCAGGGGCCCTTCCGCACATGAGCTGGCCTGTGCGCGGGGCCGGACGAGCCCGGGTGCCCTGCCAGCTGGGCCAGCTGGGGCTTTTATGGCTTAGACAGTGTTTAGGGAAACATTGGCTCATTTTTATGCAAAAATGGAAATTTTGCCCTAACTTGAAGTTTCTTCAAGTGGAGTGAACTCAAATCCTCCGTGAACTTTGGGGCCGGATGCTGCCGAGCGGCGCCCTGCCCGCCGACCCCGCCGCCAGGCGTGTCCTGTTAAACTGGGCTCAAAGAAACATTTGGGTTCACGTCCCTCCTCTTCAAGTGAAGAGATTTCACACAAGCACGTGGGCTCCAGGCGTCTCGGAGAAGGCGGTTGGCGGGGCAGCCCGGGAGGGGAGGGGCGGGCCCGTCCTGGGGTCCGCGGCCCGGCCAGCCGAGCCCAGCCCCACCTGGGGCCAGGCCTGTGGTGACGGAGGTGGGGAGGCTGGCGTGTGGGGGAGCCCCGGCTCGTGGGTGGGTGGGCAGGGCAGCGCCCCACGTGCAGCGGAAGCCAGGGAGGGGAGGGCACGTCCTTCAGGGTTCGTTCTCAAATTTTGGCCTTAAATTTAGCCCCGAGGGACCTAGGTCTGACATGGCTAAGAGGAAAGATAGGCCTGCTGGGGACGGACGCCTGGCCTGTCGGTGAGCGTGCCCGCTTGGACCTTAGGGCGCTCACACGCGTGTGCCCGCACACAGGCAGGCGAGCACGCATGTACCACGAAGGCACACATGCACACGTGTGCACACCCCTGCTCACACAACCCTGAACGTGTGTGCACACGCGTGCATGCACATTCGAGCACACACGTGTGTGCCTGCACACCCACACGTGCCCTGGACACGCAGGCACACACATGTGCGCATGCATCGTGGGGCGGGGCCAGGGTGGGCAGGACGGGCGCCCGGCAAGCAGCCGCCCCCTGGGCCGCAGGTGCAGGACGTCGTGGGCTACGACTCCTTGGGTCACTGCTTCTTCACGGAGGACGGGCCCGAGGAGCGCAACACCTTCCTCCACTGCCTGGGGCTGCTGGTGCGCCCGGGGACGCTCCTGCCCTCCGACCGCGACAGCCGCATGTGCAAGGCCATCACGGAGGACGCCTACCCTGGCTACGTGCCCAGGCCCAGGCAGGACTGCAAGTGAGCCCCGCGCACCCTGCCCCGCCGGGGAGCCCCCACTGCCCCGTCTGGCCTCCGTTTTAGGGCCAGCCCGCGGCCTCGCCCCTCCTGGTTCCCCTTTTCCGAGCCGGCCCCTTGCAAATTTGGGGTGCCAGAGGCGCTCCGGGGCCCCTCACTGGAAGGAGAAGCCTCGGCCACACCGATGAGGGCGCGAGGGGCTGGTGTTCAGATGGGTGCTGGCCAGCCTGAGCCACGGCCGCTGTGACCTTCTTGTGCCTGCCCCCAGCGCTGTGTCCACCTTCTGGATGGCCAACCCTAACAACAACCTGGTCAACTGTGCGGCTGCCGGCTCTGAGGTGAGCACGGCCCATGGGGTGGGGTGGGGTGTGTCCCGGGCTCCAACTTTGGGGGGCTGACCCTTGGCCACACTGGCGGCCTCACCCACAGGAGCCGGGTCCGGCAGGTGGCCTGGTGGGACGGAGGCCTCAGCGTCTGAGCTGGCAGCTGCCTGGGGAGCCAGGGCCACCCGGGCTCTGGCCAGAGATGCTCCTTCTCGCCCTGGACCTCGGGTCGCTCCTGTCACCTGGCAGGGCAGAAAAGTGGAGTCATGGGGTCACACCCACCCGTCCTGGGAGCCCAAGCAGGCGCCTCTGTGCAGGATGCAGGGGCCCCAGGAGGGCTCCGACACGGGCCCTGGAGGGGGCGCCCACGGACAGCTGGACCGCGGTCTGGCGCCCGGCCCGAGCTCACCAGGCTGACCGCCATGCCTCCCTGTGTCCCCACAGGAGACTGGGTTTTGGTTCATTTTCCACCACGTTCCCACAGGCCCCTCGGTGGGCATGTACCCCCCCGGCTATTCAGAGCACATCCCCCTGGGAAAGTTCCAGAACAACCGTGCACACTCTAACTACCGGGTGAGTGTCCACATGCTGCCTCCCCCAGCCGCTCCGGCCAGCAGTGGTCAGACACAGAACTAGCCTCCATCTGAGGAACAGGAGAGGCTCACAGCCATGTTCCCCAGGGTACCCCATGGGTGCTCCTGCCCTGGGGGCTGGCACGGCATCGGGAGCCCGAGGCGCCCCTGCTGGCCACCTGCGTGTCCACGCAATCACCCAGGGACACTCACGGCAGGGCTGCTGACGCCCCCACCTGGGATCCGCAATCTGGATGTGGCACAGAGGGTGGGCTGCCATCACTGGTGGGGCCTTGGCGGCGCCCACGTCCGGCCTCCCAGCTTTTGGAAACTGCTCAGTGAGGGGTCTGTGGAGAGCTGGACATCCATAGCCCCCACTACCCGAGGGGAGAAGCCCAGGGAGGGAGGCTGGTGTGGCCTCGGGCGAGATCCTCAGCCCTTGCACCTGGCCGGAGGGACGTTGCCTGAGCAGTGTGGAGAAGTCGGGGCCTCGCCCCTGCAGACCCCCTCTGCACCCGGGGCCAGGCATGCCATGAGCACGGGGCCAGTAGGCAGCAATGCAGCGTGTCCCTCCCTCCACGCCCCAGGCTGGCATGATCATAGACAACGGCGTCAAGACGACCGAGGCCTCCGCCCGGGACAAGCGGCCCTTCCTCTCCATCATCTCCGCCAGGTAGGGGGCTGCCCGCTAGCGCCCAGCTGTCGGGGGCTGGCACCCATCCCAGGTGCTGCTTGGCTGCCAGGTCCCGGTGGACCCCGAGCGGGCAGAGTCTGGACTGGGCTGGCACTCCAGGCCCAGAGGGCCGGGCCCACACACGGGCCCCGGGCGCAGGGGTGGGTGGCGAGCGAGGAAGAAGCCAGAGTGTCTCTGGACGGAGGGCCAGGCCTGCCACACGTACCTGTTGGTGCACCTGGGGTGCAGCTGGGGCAGGTGGGGTCCTCCAGGTCATTGAGACCTTTCAAAAGACCAGGCGGCCTGTCACCACCAAAGTGGGGCCACAGCGATGCAGCTGGACCAGGGGGCCAGGGCCTTGGCGCCTCGGGGCAAGCTGCGGGCTGGGCCCTGCTCCCGCGCCAGCTCCACCAGCCCCTTGTGGGTGGGCGTGTGCTCAGATTGGGCCCGGCGAGCGGGGCCCAGGAGCGTCCAGGGTCCCAGCGCCACGCGGTGTCCCTGTCCCCTCGCAGGTACAGCCCACACCAGGATGCTGACCCGCTGAAGCCCCGGGAGCCGGCCATCATCAAGCACTTCATCGCCTACAAGAACCAGGACCACGGAGCCTGGCTGCGTGGGGGTGACGTGTGGCTGGACGGCTGCCGGTGCGCGGGGCGGGGGGCGGGGGCACGGCCTGGGCACCCCTGGGCATGGTGGCCAGGATGGACATGCTGACATCTGCCTGTCCCCAGGTTCGCGGACAACGGCATCGGCCTGACACTGGCCAGGTAGGGGTCCCTGGGCGGGGCCAGGCTGGCCAGGCAGAGGCGTCCCCGTGCTGCCCCGGGCTGCGGGCTCACGGCCCCTCCCCACAGTGGCGGCACCTTCCCCTACGATGAGGGCTCCAAGCAGGAGGTGAAGAACAGCCTGTTTGTGGGCGAGAGTGGCAACGTGGGCACAGAGATGATGGACAACAGGATCTGGGGCCCGGGCGGCCTGGACCACAGCGGAAGGACCCTCCCCATAGGCCAGTAGGTCTGCTCGGGGCCTGCATGCTCGGCCTTTGCGTGGCCGCTGCTCGGGGCGGGCGGGCGGGTGGCAGGGTGGACACGGCCGCTGCTCGGGGCGGCACCAAACTGCCGGGGTGGCCTAGGGTCTGGGCCCCGTCAGTGGGACCCCCAGGCCAGTGCGGGGTCCGAGCAGGGCAGATGGAAACCAAGCACCTGGACAGACCCCGAGGGCACCCGTGGATTAGGGGGGTCTCCAATCAGGACGTGCCCGCAAGCACCTCGGGACCTGCGGTCACCCCTGCACGCTCCAGGCCCACGCCGTGTGAGCCCAGCAGGGCCTCCGCTCCATCCCCACTGGGACAGCGGGACGCCAGCGCCTGCGGCTCACCGCCCGACGTGCTGAGCGGGCCGCGCAGGGCCAGGAGACACGCCCGCCCGAGCAGGCAGCCAGCCAGGGGCGTCAGGGCCACGGCTGACGGCTCTGTCCTTCCCAGGGACTTCCCCATCCGGGGCATCCAGTTCTATGACGGCCCGGTCAACATCCAGGGCTGCACCTTCCGCAAGTTTGCGGCGCTGGAGGGCCGGCACACGAGCGCGCTGGCCTTCCGCCTCAACAACGCCTGGCAGAGCTGCCCACACAACAACGTCACCAACCTGGTCTTCGAGGACGTCCCAGTGAGTGGGCGCGGGTGGTGCTGGGCCAGAGCTGGGTGACTCAGTGTCCCGGGCTGGCCCTGCGCGGCGGCCACCCCCACAGGCTGGACGGCCTCCTGAGCCGCCGGCCGCGTCCTCACTGGAAGGGAACATAGGAGGCGCCCCCGGGTCAAGTCCAGGCACTGCTGGCTGCATGGGCAGCCCCTCGGGGCCAGCGCCCAGGAAGGTGCACCTGTGCTGGGGACGGGGGCTGCAGCTGCCGGTGTCCTCACTCGGAGGCAGGTCTCCTGCTGGGACTGCTGCCAGCACCCCACACGGGGCACGCGGGCGCGGTGGGCAGTCCGGCTCCCCACCCGGTGCTCGCCCTCTCCCCTCCCCTCCATGAGCCTGCACAGAGCAACGGGCGGCAGCAGGAGGCCCCTGCAGGCCAGCTGTGTTTGGGGCGCCCGAGAGGTCAGCCGTGCATCCTGGGGCCCAGGGCCCAGCAGGCCTGCAGGGCCAGCAGAAGCCAGCCCCAGCCCCGCCGCCCCAGCCCGGGCCCTGCCCGCCTCCCCGTCTTGACAGATCACGTCCAGAGTGTTCTTCGGAGAGCCAGGGCCCTGGTTCAACCAGCTGGACATGGACGGGGACAAGACGGCGGTGTTCCACGACGTGGACGGCTCGGTGTCCGAGTACCCGGGGGCCTACCTCACGCGGGAGGACAACTGGCTGGTGCGGCACCCGGACTGCCTGGCCGTCCCCGACTGGAGAGGGGCCATCTGCAGCGGGCACTACGCGCAGGTGGGGCCCGGGCCAGGCTGGCGAGTCACCCGCATGGCAGCCTCTTCCCCGCAAGGCCGGGCCCCCAGAGCAGGGCCCCGCAACACCCACCCTGAGGACCCCGGGCCTGTGCCCCAGCCTGTAAAGGGGCCTCTGTCCAGAGCATGCGTCCCCACCGGGCGTGACCACCTTCTCTGCTTCCTTTTGGGTGAAAAGATGTACATCCAGGCCTACAAGACCAGCAACCTGCGGATGAAGATCATTAAGAACGACTCCCCCGACTACCCCCTCCACCTGGAGGGCGCCCTGGCCCGGAGCGCCCACTACCAGCAGTACCAGCCTGTAGTCACGCTGCGCAAGGGCTACACCGTCCACTGGGACCAGCCGGCGCCCGCCGAGCTCACCATCTGGCTGGTCAACTTCAACAGGTGCTGGGCCAGCAGGGGCGGGGCCCAGCGGGGGCGGGGCCCGGACAGGAGGGGTGTCCCCAGCGAGCAAGTGGCTGCTCCCTTGCCCCAGGCCCCAGGCCGGCCCACTTGGCCCTGTGGGAGCATCAGCCAGGGCGGTAGTGACTCAGCAGCCTCTGTGAGGCGAGCACGCGGGCCCGCACCCTCGAGCATCCGCCCCTCCGTCCAGGGTGCGGCCATCGAGATCCACAGGACAGGTGGACTGGCAGGGCGCGCTTTCCAGAGGGGGCAAGATGGCCGGCGAGGGCTAGAGAGGATTCCTGGGCGCTGCGGGTCCCTCCCAGTGTTCCCGCGGGACAGACGCGGAGCGCCCGGAGGGACGGGGTCAGGTCAGCCAGGCCGGCGCCTCCTGTGTCCAGTGGAGGACGTCTCTTAAGTCCCCCAGAGGTGCCCTGTGGCCCTGGGGATGCCCCTGCCCCTAACCCCGGCCTCCACTCAGGCACCGTGGCCTCCTGGCCTGGTGACATGGCTGTGACCACCTGCATTGCCTGCAGGGGCGACTGGGTGCGCGTGGGGCTCTGCTACCCGCGGGGCACCAGCTTCTCCATCCTCTCGGACGTGCACGACCGCCTGCGCAAGCGAACCTCCAAGACCGGCTCCTTCGTCAGGACGCTGCAGATGGACAAAGTGGGCCAGAGCCTTCCCGGCAGGGGCCACTACTTCTGGGATGAGGACTCAGGGTGAGCACCCCCTCCTCCCCGTCTCCCAGTAACCCAGGACCACCATGCAGGGAGCCCCTCGGGCGCCTCCTGCCGAGGCTCATCACCCCCCTCCCAGCCCGAGGCCCACTCCGTGGACACACGGGCAGCGGGGACAGTCTCAGGAGAAAGCGAGTCTCGGGCTCAAGAAACAGCACAGTCCCTCCCATGCCCCAGCACCCCAGAGGGGCACATGGCATCGCCCCCCATCTAGAGATGGGCAGGAGGGGGGAGCGAGAGGGGGGGGAGGGGAGAGGAGGGTGGGGGAGGGGAGGGGAGGAGGGGCTGGCACCCAGCGCCCCGCCCCGCCCGCCCTCCCGCGTGCAGGCTGCTCTTCCTGAAGCTGCGCGCGCAGAACGAGCGGGAGCGGTTCGCCTTCTGCTCGGTGAAGGGCTGCGAGAGGATCAGGATCAAGGCCCTGATCCCCAGGGGCGCGGGCGTCAGCGACTGCTCGGCGGCCGCCTACCCCAAGTTCGTGGAGAGGGCGACGGTGGACGTGCCCATGCCCAGGAAGCTGAGCGGCGCGCAGCTGGTGCGGGCTGGCTGCCTGGGGCGCGGGTGGGCGAGGGCGCCCGTGGGCCCCCCTCACCCCGGTCTGCTGCCTCCCTCCAGAAGACCCAGGACCGCTTCCTGGAGGTGAGGATGGAGAGCTCCAGACAGCGCTACTTTCACGGGCTGAGCGACTCCGCCTACATCCAGGTAGGGCTGGGGGCGCCGGTCTCAGGGGGCAGCGGTCTCGGGGGATGCAGGTCTGGGGGGTGCCAGTCTCGGGAGATACCGGTCTTGCGGGGGATGCCATTCAAGGGGGATGCCGGTGTCAGGGGGTGCCGGTCTCGGGGGCGCCAGTCTTGGGGGATGCCGGTCTTGGGGGGATGCCGTTCAAGGAGGACGCCGGTCTCGGGGGATGCTGGTCTCAGGGGATGCAGGTCTGTGGGGCGCCGTTTAAGGGGGATGCCGGTCTCAGGGGGGACCGGTCTCGGGGGATGCTGGTCTTGGGGTACACCGTTCAAGGAGGACACCGGTTTCAGGGGATGCAGGTCTCGGGGGCGCCAGTCTTGGGGGCACCCGTCTTGGGGGCACTGGTCTCGGGGGGCACCGGTCTCTGGGGTACTGTCACACAGAACCGCTGACGGGAGGTTGAAACAAGAAGGCACCGGGGCAGGCGTCTTCAGGGCCCAGCGCCTGGTCCTGCGGCTGCTGGACACGTCCCTCCCACCCCGGCCACTCAGCTCTGTCCACGCGCGGCCCTCCTCCCCGGCCGGGCTCCCCGCTCGCTGCTCGACCGCGAGGGACAGCTCCCGGGTGGGCTGGGGTCTGTCTCGGCTCCATGTCCAGGTGAAGCCCCAGGTTCTGTGTGGCCAGCTTGAGGGCCGCGCGGGCCCCCCGGCGCTCCGGGCTGGAGAGCGGGCCGGCGGCCTGCCGGGGCTGGCGGCCTCACGTGAGCCGCTCGCCCACAGGTGGACGGGCAGACGTTCGCCGGCGCGGAGGAGGGCGTGCAGGTGGTGGTGGTGGACGGTCGCCGGGGCCGCGTGCTGAGCCGCGCCAGCTTCCGCAACGCCGTGCTGCAGGGCACGCCGAGCGCGTCCAAGCTGCTCCACTACGTGGCGGCCCTCCCTGACCAGTGAGTGCGCGGGGCTGCGGCGGCCGCCTGGGGCAGGTCAGGTGGGGCCCTGCGGGGCGGGCGGCCGGTCTGAGGCGGTCCAGTGCCTGCAGGTGGGATCCGGCCCCTCCCCCACTCGCCAGAGCCGGGTCAGGGCGCCATCTCCCAGCTCGCGGCCTCCCGGGCCCGTCTGTGCGTCGGCTCGGAGGGCCATGGACTGTTCGCTCCTGCGGGGCCGAATTCTCATGTTTCTTTCATGCCCGCAACCAGCCCCCACCCCTGCCCTCCCTGCCGCGACCACCACCAGCCAGCCGGGCCGGGCTGGTCTGCGCCACCCCTCCCCAGCGGCCTCGCACGTGTTCTCCGTGCAGATTCCCCCAGAAAGGCCAGACATTGATCCTCAGAGGTCAGTGGTCTCGGGCCTCTCTTGGCCAGCGCGGCCACGATGAGGCTGGACTGCGTTGTCTAGCAGGGTGAGAGGCTGGGCGCCGGCGCCGTTCAGCCCCGCAGCCCGCCGGTGGCTCCTTGGGGCCTCGTGAGCACCTGGCGGGGCCGGGCCTGTGTGGGGTCCCAACATGCTGGCAGGAATGGGGATACCCAGAGTCCGCTCTGACCGCTGGGAGGGGCGGGGAATGGGGCAAGGTGGGTCTTGCCTACCCCCACCCAGCCCAGGGGCCAAGGGAGAAGCGGGAGAAAGCCCCAGGCCCCGCCTGCCCCAGGACCCCAGGACCCCACCCATCATGGCCGGCCTGCGGGGCCACCGGGGCTGGGACACTCCGGACGCCCCAGGCCCCTCCCGAACTGGAGGGACGGGAGGGAAGCAGCAGCCCCAAGGCCTGGGCCCTCCCCACCATCCCCCAGCCCTCTGTCCTGGCTGCCCAAGCCCTCTGCCTGGCCTGTGCTCCCCCACTGCCCCAGGGGGCCAGGGGGCTGACTCGGCTTCCAGAGCCCGCTGGCGGCCCGTGCCTGGGCTGTGGTCTGAGGTTCTGGGGCCGAGCCGGAAGGCGCCGTGGGCTGGGGCGGGCTCCCTCCTCCTGCGGCCCTGGGGCTGTTCTGGTAACAAGTGCACCTGGCAGGGAGCTGGGGCTTGGATCTGCGCCGGGCCCTGCCCAGCGCCACCTGCACTCTGTGCCCCCAGCAGGTGCCCTGGATTCCTGGTGATCTGCCTGGATCACCCCAAGCGGGTGGGCGGGAGGGAAGGGGCGAGAGCACAGGCGCCCTCCTCGGTGCCCGCGGGAGACCCTGGCCTCACCCCATCTCTGAGACGGCCCCACAGAGGGGCGCTGGGCAGGCGTACTCGCCTCTGGGGACAGCCAAGCCGGGCACCCCCTGTGGGCTGGCTGCAGGGCTGCCCCAAACTGTGTGCCCGCCGTACCCTGCGAGCTCCCGGCGACGCCCTGATCCGTTCCTTCCGGCTCAGCTCCATCGTCCTCATGGCCTCCAAGGGCCGGCTGGTCTCCCGAGGCCCCTGGACCAGAGTGCTGGAGAAGCTTGGGGCGGACAAGGGGCTCAGGCTGAAAGGTAAGGGGTCTGGCCCCAGGTGTGGGCTGTGCAGGGCGCCTCCCTACAGCCACGCGGCGGCGCCCAGGGCCCCCAGCGGGGCAGGCCAGCACCTGCATTGCCCTGGGCGGAGGCTCCCAGCGCTGCCCCAACACTGCAGGCGGTTCCTTTCTGGGCAGAAAAGCATCAGTAGGCGAGGGGCCGGGCCGGGCCCTCCCCACCCCCTGCTGCGGGGCTGCCGAGCCGCTGAGCTGAGAGGCAGGGAAGGGCCGTAGACCGGGTCGGCTCACCCTCCGGCGCGGGTTGCTCAGAGGGCCCTGGGGCCGGGGGCCGCAGACTCCGGGGGTAGCAGGCGCCAGGGCGTGTCCCCACAACCCCACCGCTCGGCACCCTGCACGGCGGCGCCCCCGGGGTAGGCAGCTGAGCGCCTGCTCACAGTGGGAATGCAGAGCTGCGTGTCTGTCCCGCGTCCAGGCCGCCCACTCGACCGGCTGCCCTCGGGGCCCACAGCAGGCTGCTCCCAGGGGACAGAGGGCCGTGGGAGAGGCGGCCTCCCCCCTGCAGGGTGTCCCGAGGCCACACTGATGTCAGCACAGCCACAGGGTTGGCTGGGGCCAGGCCGTGACTCCAGGAAGGAACCGTCCTGGTGCAGCGGCATCGCCCTGCCCAGGGGAGCCCGCGTGCCCCACGGGCCGGACAGAGGTCCCGGGGACAGTCAGGCGGCAAGGGGCGGGACCTGGGGTCAGAGCCATGGTGATGGGAGCCCTGGGAGGCGGGGGCTGCCCTCCCCGGTCTCCAGCTCACGTGACCCGCCGTGGTTTCCAGAGAAAATGGCATTCGTGGGCTTCAAGGGAAGCTTCCGGCCCACCTGGGTGACCCTGGACACCAACGACCAGAAGGCCAAGATCTTCCAAGTCGTGCCCATCCCCGTGCTGAGGAAGCAGCGGCTGTGAGGCCCCCTTGGTGCCCATGTGGGACAGTGGACACTGCGCCGGGCAGTGTGGGGCCAGGTCCCACGTGGGGGCAGCTGCCCGGGAGGCCGTGTTGCTCGAGGCTGGGGCCACTGGAGACCTGGTGCGCCTGACCCTGCGTCTCCCCGCGGAACCTCCTTTCCCACAGCTCTTGGTGCTTCCCTATCTGTGCCTCTTCGGTGGGGTGAGGACCCGGCGGCGGGCCCTCAGGCAGGGCCTGCTCCAGCCAGCAGGCACGGGCTGGCCACCCTGCCCACCTGGCTCCCAGCATCACCCTGGGGTGGGCTGGACCCGGTCCAGGAAGCGAGAAGCAAGCTTGGGGCCGGGGCTGCTGGGCAGACAGAGCCAGCCCAGGGAGGGATTCCGGTCACGGCTGGGGGCACCGTGGCGGGGCGAGTGACCCCTGGGCCTGGGTGTGTGGTTTGCGGGGACGCAGGCAGAGGCGCCTGACTGCAGGAGCAGGAGGTCTGCTGCTGGGCCAGGAGGGCTTCCTGCAAGAGGGGCCACGAAGGGAGGGGCGTTCTGGAGGCAGCTCGGCGGTTGGGCCCTACCTGCCTGTGTCTTCTGAAGCTGGGCCAGCCCAGCAGGGGAGGGTGAGGCCCCTGGAGGGTGCTGTGCCTGCAGCACTGTGGAGTCGCCCCCCCCCAGGCCCCCAGGGAGTCTGGGCCATGAGCCGCCATGTGGGGCCTCGTCTGCCCTCCAGGAGGCCTGGGCGACTCACAGCTCTATGTCCAGGCCTGGGCGGCCCAGCCCTGGTGCCACAACTGAACCCTGAGAGCCGGGTCGGGGCAGAGCGATGCAGTGGGGGCTCAGTGGGGCCAGCACGGCACCCCCCAGAGCCTCACCCCCAGGCCAGACAACTGGGTGGGCTCCAGGAAAGAGGGGCCACCTCCCTTGGCAAGGAGACAGCCGTGAGGATGAAGGGTCATGTCTGCCACCACGTCGCTCCAGCTGCGGCCCTGGGCACTGCCTCTGAGGGGCCTGCGGCGGTGGGCGCCTGAAACAGGCTTGTCAGCGTGAGGCTGCGGGGGGCTGAGGCCCAAGTCGTGGCCCTTTCTACCCTGGGGCGCACCAGGCCGGGGGAGTCTTGGGGCATCTGTGCCCTCCCGGGGAGCTACAGAGACACCCCCTGTGCCACATGTGCAGGCCAGACCATCGGCCTGCAGCATCCTCTGTCATCGGCGCCATCCCGGGCAAGCCCTAGGCCCAGGTCTCAGGGCTCCCGGGGTCCCACGCTGCCACCCCACGAGCCAACTGTCTGTTTATTCTCCCTGCACCTCGAGAAGCTGTGGTCGGAGAAAGGGAGACCGTGGGGTGTCCTTCCTGGCTGGTGCCCGCCGCAGCCCAACACCTAAGGAGATGGCGGAGCCCCGGGCTGTGCCTTGGCCGGGCACTGCGGAGAAGGGCCGAACTGCCCGCCTGACCTGCCGCCCGCCAGTGTGCCGTGTGGGGCCGCCGTGTGGGACGGAGGCGACAGGGAGGTGGCGGTGGAGGTTGCCAAGAGGGGCTGGGAGATGAGCGCTCTGAGCTCTCAGTGCGGGGGGCGGCGCGAGGGGACGGGGCTTGTGTCTGGGCCGGAGCCTCCTCTTTCCCCCGCTCGCCTGGCCGGTGTCCGCAGCGCTGAGCCGAGGCTGCTGCCGTTTCTCAGAGGCCCCCAGGCCGCGGGGAGAACTGCAGCTTGGGGGGCAGGCGGCTGCAGACACAACTCTGCCTGAGAAGCAGGCTTTGGGGTGCGGGGGAGCCCAGCAGGGTGCAGTGGCTGAGTCAGCCACGCAGAGGCCCCACCGCTCCCCTGGTCTGCCCTGTGCCCCGCTCCCCAGACCCTTGAGGGCAGGGGCACCTGGTAAAGATGGGCAGGGCAGCTCGGGTGTGCGAGCACGGGAGAGCGTCTCTCACCGCCTCTCGGGCAGCGCCGCTCCCAGGTACTCCAAGCACCCATGGGAGCCCTGAGTCAGGAAGTCGAGAGGGGCAGAGACGTGGGAGGGACCCTGGTGTCAAAGAGCCACACACAGCTATGACGCGCTTTTGCACGGCAGGGTGCGGAGCCGAGCAGCGCTGACACAGCTGAAGGGACGTCCGTGGCCACGGCGGGGGCCACGGCGAGAGCCTGCGCGTGCTCTGCGGGCAGGGCCAGGCCACGGGTCTGTGGGAGGGGGTACGCTGCCTCGCCGGCCGGCAGGAACCAGCCCTGGCCTGCAGCGCCCTCCTTGGGCAGACAGCCCCCTCCTGCCTTCCACGCGGCCATGTCTGTCCAGAGCGTCCACCCTGAGTGCGGGCAGCAGAGCTCACAGCCAGGAAATGGAGATGGCGCCCCCAGCCGAGCCCAGGACCAGCGCAAAGGCAGGCGCGGGCGGGCGGGCGCTCCTGCCCGCTCTCTGCTGCCCCCTCGTGGCACAGCCTCCCTGGGGGCGGGCTCCGGGCTGTTTGGAGAAGGGCCCCTGCCGACTCTTGAGCTGGAGATTCTGAGCTGGTCGGGGAGGCCAGTCCACCTGCTGGGCGTGGCGGCAAGCCCTCCCCCGGCCACTCCCTCGCCCCTGCTGACCCCGCGTGACTGAGGCCTACCCGCTCTGCGCTCAGTGGGGCGCCTCTTGGCCAGCCCCCTGGGCCTCAAGGGCCCGTCCGGTGTTATCCAAGCCCACCAGCAGGTGAAGTGCAGACAGAACAGGCAGCCTGCACGGGCCGACCTCTGGCAAGCAGAGAGGGTGGGTGACTCCCTGCGGGCGCGGGCAACCGACGAGATGCCACCTAAGTGCTCAGCTTCACCTGTCCCAGCAACTCCTCTGCCAGGAACGCGCCCTTCAGGCTGAAGCGTGTCAGGTGCAAACTGGAGTCGCCCCACACACCCCTCCCAACCCCATCCAACTGTGTGGGCGATGAGAGCCCCCCTCCCAGGACCGGCCCCGACCAGGCCCCGCCGCGTCCCCGGAACGGGTCAGTGCAGGGACCAGGCACCCAAGTTAGGGGAGAGGATGGTGCCAGGCCACACGCACCCCCCCTTGGGCCCCCACCCCCACAGTGACAGCGCGCACTGGGGCAGCAGGCCTGCCCGCACCCTCTGGAATGATGCCGCCATCCACCCTGGTGACACGTGCGGTTTTTATTTTGTTAAAATCACAACTGAAGAGTTTTACAAATATCTGGGTTCTCAGAAGCAACACCTGTTCACAAAGTCCATGGCAGGATCCTAGTTGGCGCCACCTTGCCAGCGAAAACGAGATGGCGCGGGCAGGGCATCCAGGTGCAGGCACTTGGCGAGGGCAGGGCTCGGGCACCAGCAAGGCTGCTTGGCGCCACGCCGCAGGACGAGGCCCGCGACACCAGCTTTGTCCCTGAAGCGGACACCAAGGCCAGGCTCGAGCCACGCCCAGGCTGACAGATGCCCAGGGCCCTCAGGCAAGGGCTCCAGCGGAGACTCGGAGCAGAGGGCCCTCGGTGAGTGCCCTGCCTGTGGTGCCCACGCAGGGACAAGGACATCCTCGGGGCCTGGCTGACCAGGCATCGGGGACCCACACCCGGCCCGGCGACGACAGCACACCTGCAGCTGCTGAGCCGGACCAGTGATGGCCGAGGCCTGAAGACACCATCTGACTGGGCCCAGCCCTCCGGCCAACAGCGCACAAGACTGGGCAGCAGGGCAGAGGGACCAGGCACCGGGAGGCAGCGGCCACGGCCCCTGGGAGCCCACAGCCCGGCAGAGACGAGGGACGCAGCCCGTGCCCGCTGATGTCAGCACAAACGCCCAACGCAGGCGCCGTGTCCATCACTGACCTGTCGTCCCCCCCGTAATCCTGTCCACAGCCACCCTGGTGCTGGCCGCAGCAGCCTCGCCGCAGGTCCCTTCTGGAAGGAGCTGGCGCCGTCGGGGAGGGCCTCACAGGTCTTCCCTCCCCTTCCCGGCCCGACGGTCCTCCTTCTGGGCCTGCTGCTTCGCCCTGTTCTTCTCCTTGCCTGCGCCTCTGCCGGGGTACACCTGCCCCTCCAGCGTCACCTCTGCACACCGGTCCTGGCCAACCAGGAAGTCCTTGATCTCCCAGGCGTAGCTCCCGTCACGGAGCATGAAGATGGCCCTGTCCGCCCCCACGATGAACCTGGTGGGAGACCGGCAGTCAGCACTGAGTGGGGCCCTGGGCCACTGGCCCCGCACGGCAGTGTCTGAAATGCAGTCCCGGGTGAGCCCTGAGCGCCTGCTGCTTGGGCTGGAAGTGGGTGCAGAGAAGAGCCCCCAAACGCCACGATGCGCTGGAGCTGCTAGGAAGCAGGAAGTGGCCATGTGCGAACCCACCCAGCAGCCGAGGGGCCTGGAAACCACTGCCACAAAGGCCAGAGTGGACTTGGCTACTGGACATGCCCCGGAGCCGGGGGGCGCCAGCTGCCCAGCACGTGCACCCCACACTCAATGGGCTGAGGGGCAAGAGCCATAGGAGGAGTCTGGGCAGTCCCCAGGGTGGCCAGCAGGCACAGCTCTTTGGGTCCTGGGCAGCTGCACCCACACACCCCCACTTTGGCCTGTGATGACCCCGAGATCGGGGTAGCACTGACCAGCCAGCACCAAACGCGCCCCGCCCAGTGTCCGGTGAGCCGAGGATGGCCTCGCACGGTCCTGCTCCCAGCCCCCCCCCCATGACAGCTGGTGGCGGGGACGGCGCGAGACCTCACTCTGCAGAGCTGCTGTGGGGAGGGGCGGGCTGAGGCCCGGGCCGCAGGGCTCTGCAGGCAGCGGCCGGTCAGGCCGGGGTCCACTTACCCCTCAGCCTAAGGGCACAGCATCTCACGCGAATGAAGCCCGAGGTCAGACGAGACGTCTCCTGGACTGGCTGGCTCTGGCCAGCGGCGGCGCTGCCTGGCGGGGAGCACAGAGACAGAGGCCCCGGCCGCGCCCTCACCTCTGCACATCGTAGTTGGCGTTGAAGAGGCTGCCCTGCCACAGGCTGGTGATGTCCTCCGTCTCCTTCTCGGTGGGGCTCCCGGACACGGTGACAAACATCATGAGCGTCTTCCCCTTCTTCGTCATCCTCAGGATGCTCTCGGGCTTGCCGGGGTCGATCTGGGAGAAGTCGATGGGCGCCGAGGGCCGCTTGTGCTCCGGCAGGTCCCCCTCCTCTATGTCGTCGTCTTTCTGCCGGGACAGGAGAGCGGCGGGGCCGCGGTCAGGGCCACCCAGGACTCGGCAGGGCGTCTACAGAGACCTGCCGACGGCCACCTGGACTGGCCACGCCAGCGGCGCACGCGGTGATGAAGAACGAACCCGGATTCAGGCGGGAAAGCTCGACGCTGCGGCCAGCCGGGCAGGGCCGTGCACGCGGCTCCACCGAGGGCGAGGCCAGACCCGCACGGTCGCCGGGACAGAAGGAGCCGGCAGAGGGAGGGGTTCAGGGGTGCTCCACGTGGACAGGGACGCGGGGAGACTCACCCCTCGCCCTGACTCGTGGCCCTCCCTGCACGCTGAGAAGCGCGTCTCCTCAGTCAGCCTCAGAGAAAACGGGAACCACAAACACTCAAATTTGCCCTCAGGTCCAGAGCTGGCCGAGGAACTAGCAATTCAGAAACCAAGGGAGCCCCAGGCGCTCACTCTGGGAAGGGCCAGTGACAGGCGGGCAGAGCCGTGCACTGGCTGGCGAGAAGGCTGAGCCCTGCCTGGACCTAGGCCAACGCGGGTGGCCCGGAGCCTCTGGCCTCGCGCCGGACGGGTGAGAGCACAGACCCAGCGCAGCGGGCTCACGCCTTCTGGAGCGACTCGGAATCGCAGCAGAGAACGACAGAAAACCCAGACCCCGCGCTAACACGGCTGCTGTGTCCACACCTATGGGACAAGCGCCCGCAGGCACAGCAGCGAGACCCGGAGTAGGGACAGAGGTGGCCGCGGCGACTGTCCCCGGGGCAGGGGCCGGCACGGAGCACGCGTGCGGTGCCACAGGCAGAAGCGTCCCCAACAGACCAGGCCACGCAGGGGCGGCTGTGCAGGGCTGGGGGCTCAGTGAACACAGTGGTTCTGGGGACAATGCGCCCAAGGAGGTGGCGGCGACAGTCACACAGCCGGGCGAAGACACCAAGCCCCGGAAGGTGCACCTGCAGCGGGGCATCGGGCACAGCCTCTCAACGCAGCCCCGTCGCAGGCTGCCACCCCGTCACCTCCTGACCCTCCTGGCCGACGACGGAGGTCTGGGCCAGGGCAGCAGGCGTCACGTGCGTCGTCAGTCACTGCTGATTTCCCCCAAATGTTACTTCACTACTTTTTTGTAGTTTTTAAATAAATTTAATTTTTAATTGCGGTAACATCTGATTGCCCCAAAAATGTTCCTTACAAGAGATAAAAGAACTCTAGATGGAGCCTGCAGGGACCCTGCTTCTAGCAGGTCTGGGACCTGCCTCTCCACCCCTGTGAGCTGGGACCCCACCTCTAGGCCTGTCCCTCTCCTTGACAGGAAGCACCCCGGGGCTCCAGTGTGGACTGCACACAACACACCCGTCTCATATGCTTGTCAGGGGAGGAGGGGCAGGAGCCAGCACCACTGTCCAGGCTGCACCCTCACAAGATGGCCAAGCACTGCCTCCCGCAGTGAGTCAGGGTGACGATGTCTCCCTCCTGGGGCTGCGGGTCAGTGCCTGAGAGGCCAGCAGCGAATGCCCAGTCCACACTGGCTCCCATTGCTCTGCCCCCACCCCTCCTAACAGCCCCCAGCGGCCAGCCCACTGGTTTTCCGAAGCTTGACCCTGATTGAGAAGTTTCACACGGAGCTCAGCCTGTCCCACCAGTCTTACTCCAGAGCCTGACTGTGAGCTCTGCCCAGAATGCCCAGCTTCCCCAGAACCCACCCTTAGCTTGCGCTGCTACTAGAACTCTCCCTTGCCCTATCTCCCTGGCGTCCGTGGACAGTCCCATGACACTTCCGTATAGCACTTGAGGACTCTGTTGTGCATGACAGCTGTTTCCTGTCATCTACTGTTCTTGCGGCGGCCCCTTTGTAGTCTCTTTCATGGAGCTACAGTCTGAGTATCCCCAGAGTTGAGTTCCCTCAGGTGGTGCTCTCACTTAGAGATCAAGACTTCCTTTGAAGTCAAAGAAAGGTGGGAGATGCAAGGGGAGACAGCGAGGGAGGGAGGAACCAGGGCAGAGTGCCCCCTCAAAGGGGCCCACACACCACCCCCAAATCTACCACTGTTCCCAGTAGCTGCAAATGAACATGAAACCAGTCTCCTCCTAATGAAATGCACCTGATGGTCCTTTAACCTCAGGCCTGAAATCTTTTACCCAACACATGCAAAACCACAAAAGGCTAAGACGTGAGGGTTTCCTGGAGGCGTCCAGTGAAGTCTCCTCGTTTGCAGGTAAGGAAGCTGAGGCCTGGAGAGGACAGACTTGCCCAAGGCCACACCACAAGGGGTCCAAGTTTCAAGGTGCCCCCCCTTGCAGCTGCTTCCGGGCATCAGGATCGCACGGGCCCCACCAGAGGCAGCGGCCTGTCCTGGTCAGTGAATTCGACTGACCAGCTCATTACACACCCCGCAGATGCACACGCCAGGGACCCCAGGTAGCCAGGAAACTTATTCCCACGAAAACAAGTCCTGGCTGCAGTGGGTGAGACGCGAGATCCCACACACAGGCCACGAGCCTCTGCCCCGAAGCAGGCGTCAGGGAGACGCGCCCAAAGGGGGAGTCAGGCCCCAGGGGCTGAGGCGGCAGAAGCCCCAAAGCCGAGACGACCCGCCGGAACGCGCCCCCATCCCTGGACCGCGCACCCCTCCCCCGGGCCTCCGGGAGCAGGAAGGGCCGCCCGAGCAGGACGCGGCGGGAGGCCGGTCAGTGGGGCCGAGGGCGGTGAGGCCGGCAGGGAGGGTCAGGGGGCCCGGGGGGCGCGCCGCGGACCTCCCACTGCTCCAGCAGGCGCGCCATGTCCGCGTCGTTGTAGTCGCGGATGTCCTTCTTCTTCCGAGGCTGTGGGGTCGCCTCGCCCGGCGTCCCGGCCGGGCCCTCGGCCGCGCAGCCCGCAGGCGGCAGCAACAGCTCGGAGGCGCAGAGCAGCAGCACCGCCGCGCGCGCCCACCCGGACGCCGCCATCTTCGCACCGCACCGCGCCGCGACCCGCCGCCCCCGGACGTGACGCTAGGCGCGCGCCCTGCGTACGCCGCCGACGGAGCCCCGCCGCGCCCCCCTCCGAGACGTGCACCGCGTGTCCCGCCCCTCAGGCCCCGCCCCCGCTGCGCCGGCCCGCCTCCGAGACGTGCGCTGCGCGCCCCGCCCCCGACCCGCAGGCTCCGCCCCTGCCCGCTGGGCCCCGCCCCCGCCGTGACCTGCGTAGGACCCCGCTCTGGCCCCGCCCTCATCCCCGCCCCTCGGCCCTGGTCAGCCTACCAGGCCCCGCCCCGTCGCCACTCCGCCCGCCTCCACAAGAAGCCCCGCCCCAGCCCCGCCCCTCCGGGCGGGGCCGCTGCGGCTCCTGGGGCGCTGCCCGCCGCGGGGAGCCGGGAGCCGGGAGCCGGGAGCTCGGCCTCTCGGGCGGGAAGCCGCGTAGGCCTTCTCCGGCCTCTCCCGGCCGGGGCGCCGCCTCTCGGGGCGGAAGCGCCGTCTTCCTTGTCGGAGCCCGCACCCCGCCCGCCCTGCCCGGCGCGCTGGGGGCTCGCCCGGGCTCCGGGGCTCGCGGGCCGGGGCGCCCGCCGGCCGGCGCGATCGTGTCTCCTCGGGTGCGCCGAGCCCGCCCGCCGCCGCGCCGGAGGACACAGCCCGGGACTCTCGCGCGGGGGCCCCGGCCCCGAAGCCCGACCCTCGCGCCCCTGGGGGGCTGTGCGCGGCGGGGGTCCCTGCGGTGCCCCCCGCGGCGCGGCCCTGGGGCGTCCTCCTCCAGCCGGGTGGCCGAGCCAGGGGCGCGCGCAGGCGGGCCGGCCCGCGGGAGGGTCTCGGAGGCCCGCGGACACCCCTCCCGGGGCGCGGCCTTGCTCGCCGGGGTCGGGGTCGGGGCGCGCCCGCCAGCCTCCTGCGGCGGAGGAGCCCCCCGAGCGAGCAGCAAAACTCAAGTTTTAAAAAGGCCTCACACGGGATAAGGGAATTTGCCGTGATCTCTCCGGCGGCAGGCGGAGGTTGTGCCTCTAGGTCGTGTAGGCGGGTGGAGGTAGGTGGAGGCGGGTGGAGGCCGGTGGAGTCAGGTGGAGGGCAGGTGTAGAGAAGTGGAGGTGGGTGTAGGTAGGTGTAGGTGGGTGCAGGTAGATATAGGCAGGTTTAGGGCGGGTGTAGGCGGGTATAGGATGGGTGTAGGTGGGTGCAGGCAGGTGGAGGGCAGGTGTGGACAGGTGTAGGGCTGTGTGGGCAGGTGGAGGGCTCCTCAGCCTCTGGCCCCCGCCTCTTCATCTCCCCTGCATCAGGCCAGCTGCTGTGTGCCCAGGTCCCCCATGCCAGCTACCAGAGCTCCAGCCACCCCCCAAGACGTTCATCCAGAGGTCACGGGGAAAGGCAGGTGCAGCGAGAGCACCTTGCGGCAGACAAGCTCCCTCTAACCGTCACCCCTGGCGCATGGGCTTGCAGCTCCTGGGCTGGAACCTCGCCTTCCAGGGAGACCGGGAACTGCCACTCCAAATAAAATTGAGATTTTGGGATCATGGGAAAAGAGGATTTGGGTGGTAAGGGTGACCTGGTGACCACCCTGTGTCTCCAAGCTGCTCCCATGGCCTTGCCAGGGAGGTCCTCGGGGGCGGGCAGGACCTCACCCTGGGGGTTCTGGGGGACAGCGGGCGGCTGCCAGGCAGGCGTTTCTGCTGCACCTACATGGCTAGTCTGGTGACATTTTCTACTGAGAAGGAGATACCGCTTGAGAAAAAAAGGGTTCTTTCCTGCAATCATAAGGGACTGCCACCAGCCTTCTCCCAGGCGCACTGCGCCACCATGGCTGGGGCCCTGCCCAGGGTCAGTGTGCAGTCACGTTCCCTGGGCGGGGCCTGCCTGATCAGCCAGCGGCCAGCTGCCAGCTGCCCACAGCAGGTGCAGGGCCATGGGAGTCCTGATGCGCACTGGTCAGTGAAACAGAAAAATCATCTTGTGTGTTTTTTTTAAAGGTTTATTTATTTATGCATACAAGAGCTGGGCACAGGCCAGAGGTGTGGATGATAAGAGGATTCACCAGAGACAGAGTGGGGAGCAGAACAGGTGGACTGACTGAAATTCGCTGCTGAGGGGAGCAGCGGAGAGACAGGAGAGGTCTACTCGCCATGTGGGTCATCTCCCTGGGTGGGGATTGAACTCGTGCTACAGTGGCTGCGGACAGCTTCATAGTGTTGACGCTCAACCCCTCGCACCACCAGGGAGGCCCCTCATCTTATGTTTTGCAGAAATTGTGGGGACTGCGTGAGAAGCTCAGAGGGAGGCGGCACTGGGCCCAGGGTCGGGTGTCCCTGGAGAGGACGCCCCTGACTCCCTCCGCTGCAAAGCCCAGCCGCCCAGGAGAGACCTGCCAGGCGACTGAGGCAGGGGGCCCCGGCAGAGGAGACAGCCAGATTGCTGAGTGCACTGCATGGCCAGGTGGCGAGGGCCCTTTGCTAGATAAAAGGAAACCCTGGCATGGAGATGACATCATCGGGGGAGGCCACTGAGCTGGCCAGCAGCAGCCTCGGGGCGGGGAGGAGCAGCTTGCCATCCCCACAAATCAAGGCACCTGGGCAGTGAAGTGGGGGTCTCGGGGGCCCCGCAAAGCAGAAGCTGGGGCAGGAACACGCGGCTGGAAGGTGCAAGTCTGCCCAGGCTGCGGGTGGCGGGGCAGGAGGGAGAGAGGTTGTGCACTCAGGCCTCTGACGGCTCTGGACTGCAGACTGGCCGCCCTCTCGCGCGCACGCACAGCCACACACACCATGTGAGCACTGTGGGTGGTGAGCGTGCCGGTTCCACCCCACGGCACAGGAGGCAGCCACAGGGCCAGGAGCTGGGTCTCCACCTGGGAGCAGCATCAGCTGTGCCGGTGTGCAAACATCGGTCCTTGAAAGACCAAATCACTGGGGCCAGGGCGGAAGGAGGCCTGGGGTGGGGGAGCCATGGCCTGGCCATGACCGTTCACCGTTCTTTACTCTGCGGCTTTCGCCACTGGGCAAGAAGGGTGCCAGCAGCGCCGCAGAACTGCAGCCAGGCGACGGCCGGCTGTGGGTGGGGGGGAGGTCAGGGCCCTGCTCGCCATCACCGGGGACTCGGGAGCAGGGCTCAGCGTTCAACGTGCCGTTTAGAGCGCGCGGGTTCCAGGCACCGCGAGCGAAAGCTGAGACGCTGTGGCGACGCAGGAAAGCCCCACGGGGCGACGCAAGGGAGCTTATGACGAGTGAGAAGAAAACAGCAGCCGAGAGCAGGACGGGAAGGGACCTGAAAATCTCTTCATTTACACCAAAAAAAGAGAAAGAATGGCCGAGCTCTGTGCAGAGGCCACGCAGAGCCCCCCTGGGTGGCCGGGAAACACCCTGAGCCAAGTCAGACCCGCCTTCCCGCCTGGCAGCGGTGAGGACATGACTAAAGGCGGGGTCCCGGCGAGGTGTGGGGACGGCCTTGCGCTGGCCTCTGCGGGTGCAGTTTCCTGCAGGAAAACTAAGTGGCTTGAACCCAAGCCCTAAAAATGTGCACGATCCCGATTAGCAGCTCCACGCCCAAGAACTGACACGAAAAGGCTGAAGAAATAGCGGTGACCGATGGGGCCCGGGCTCTCCCGGACGCCCCACCCCGGGGCTCCACACCACCAGGGCCACCCTTGTGTCCACCACCAGCAGCTGCAGCGCCTGCAGCCACAGCTGGAGCTCGGGCACCACGGGCCAAGGGCCGCACGGGTCAGGAGAGCCGGGAAGGGCCGGTGCCCAGGGCCTGGAGGGCGTCCCATGGGGCAAGCTGAGCCAGACACAGAGGACAGGCCCGGCCGCTGCTCAGGGCAGTCAGGGACCGGTGCGGGGTGGTGGCAGGCTGGTGGGGCAGCTTCCGTCAGGGGCACTCCAGAGGGCAGGTGTGGCTGTGTCTGTGCCACTGCCGTGCAGGTGGAAGGGGCTCGGCTGTGCGCCTTGTGATGAACGTGTCATGATTCAAAATAATCACAGCTCACGGGGCTCGCGGGAGGTGCAAGGGCGACAGACCTGCAGGACGGGAGGACAGCGAGGGAGGCAGCCTCCCACCCCTGTGCCCAGCCTGGCCAGGCCCGCTCTCGGCTGGTCCCCCAGGGGTCTCCCATGCACACCTGCTCTCTGCTCTCTGTGGCGGGGCGGCCCCCCTGGCCTGCCTCCCACATTTCCAGCTTTCTCCCTAATTTCCATTTCAATGAACAAGATTTGCACAGGGCCTGAGCTTCACATTCTATTGTAGTTTTTTTTTTTTTTAAAGATTTAGTTACTTATGCATACAAGCACTGGGGTACAGGCCAGAGGAGCAGGGGTGAGAGGATTCACAGAGACAGAGTGGGGAACAGAACAGGCGGATCTACTGAAATACACTGCTGAGGGGAGCAGCAGTGAGTCAGGAGAGGTCTGCTGCGCCCTGTGGGCAGCTCCCTGGCCGGGGATTGAACTCACTTTGCAGAGGCTGTGGACAGCTTCACAGGTTGCATCTTAACCCCTTGCGCCTCCAGGGAGGCCCCTATTTTAGTTTTATAAGCAGTAATAGGCAGCATTTGCAGGAGGAAGCCCTTGCCCCAGGGCCTCCAGGGCCCACAGGGCAGCTGCCAGGGCCCGGAGGGGCGCCCGCCTGGTGGGTCTGAGGGCAGCACGGGGTCAGGCCGGGCCCCCCTAGTTGATGGGGGCGGCTCCCGGAAGCTGCAGCCCCAGATTCAGGTTGGATGGGGAGGAGCATCAGTGGGCGGGGGCAGGAGTGGCAGCCTGAGGTCACATACACCCGCCGTGTCCACCTCCCATTCCACCGCCATGCGGGCGCATGGCCTTTGCTGTCCTTTTCACCCTGAGCAGCCCCTGTGCCCATTTGTGGGGTTCTCTCGCCCACTCTGGACCCCCTTTTCAGAAGGCCCGGCCCTCCTCAGGCCTGTGTGCCCAGCACAGGGCCTGGGGCAGGCTGGCGCCAGTGTGCGTGGAGCGAGTGGACGTAAAGGCGGCAGCTGGACAGCCCCCTCTGAGAAGGAAGCCATGGGCAGTCCACCTCTAACACAGCTCAGTGCTGGGGCGCGGGGCTCGCGCAGGAGGAGAGGTGGCCGGTGGCTTCGGCAGCCCCTGACCCCACGGCAGTCTCATGGATGAGCGGGGCTTGGGGGAGGGCCTGCGCCTTCTCCTTTCCATTTATGGAGCTAAGCAGGACGTGGGAGCTATTCCTGGAGCGCCCTGGGAAGAGCAGGTTCAGCCAGCCTCCCCTCGCGCAGGAAAGTAGATCAGCCCAGCGCGAGGCTCAGTCAGGGGCGTCCTTCCCTGGGGCTGGCGGGCAGGCGGTGGGACCTTCAGATCCCAGGGGACAGCGAGGGCGCTGGTCCCAGCAGGGTGGCTGCCTCGGGGCTGCCCAGGGCTCTGGGTCCCAGGGCGGGCTGCAGGCCGTCCTCAGGTGGCCCCGGGGGCCTCTGGGAAGGGGCAGAGGCCAGGTTTCCTGGGCCAACCGCCTACGGCAAGCACCTCCAGGACCTCTTTCGGGACACAGAGGTGGGCTTGGCTGGGAGGAAACCACTTCCTGAGGCTCCTGTGGGTCAGACAGGACGGGCCGCTGGGCTGGGGCACTGCGGGTCCTCTGCAGTTCACCTCCAAGGGCTGTTCCCCCCCATTCTGTAGTCCAGGGCCCAGAACTGTGTGCAGAGCAAGAGTGGGGTCCCAACAGCGACTCTGGGAGCCGCTCGGCCAGGTCAGTGGGCAGGATCCTCTCTGGATGAGAGGACACTTGGGGAGAGGTTGCCAAGGTGGCGCCCGCAGGGAGTGGCTGGACCCCAGGAGGGGGCTGAGGCCGCAGCTCCAGCTCCTCAGGACAACCACGGGGGCCGCCGGCATCTGCCTCCAGCTCTGGCTTTCGGGCCCCGTTTCCATCGGCCAGCGCCGAGCCCCAGCCCCGGCGTGGGCGAGGACCAGACACACAAAGGGGCCGGCAGCGCCCAAGGCCTGGAGCGCAGCGAACCGCTAGGGCGTGCCCCCGGAGTCCCCTCCCTCCAGGCCAGAAAACGGGTCACTCTCCAGGCGCGCCCCAGGTCGGGGAGACGCCCCGCCCCCCGCCCGCGGCCCGGCTAAAGCTGACGTCAGCCAGCCCCGAGGAGCCCGGCCCTCCCCGGGCGCGCAGAGCCCCGGCCCCGGCCCCGCGCCCCCGCGCCCCCCGCGCCCCGAGGGGCAGCGCGCCCGGCGCGGCCACCGCTTCCCGGGGGAGGAGCCGGCGGCGCGAGCATCCGGGAGGGCGCGGGCGGGAGGAAGCGGGTTCGAGCGCGAGGCGGTGACGCCACACAAAAGCCCTCGGCAGGCTCCGGGGCGGGGACGCGCGGCCGGGACGCGCGGCCGGGGGCGGTGGCGAGGAGGCGCGGCGCGGGAGGAAGCGGCGCTTCCCGCGGCCCCCGCCCTTCCTCTCGGCCCTCCCGGCGCTCTCGGAAGTTGGAGCTGGACAAAAATGGCCGGAGCCGCGGCCCGGGCGGGCGGCGGCCGCGCGGCGGGGACCCTCTGAGCCGGCTGGGCCCGGGGCGCCGCGCCGGGCCTCCGATGCGCGGGGCGCGGGCGCGCGGGGGAGCTCAGCCGCCGCGGGCCCGGGCCGGGGAGCCCCCGGGCATGGACTCGCGCCCGCCGCCTGCGGCCGGCCCCGGGGCGCGCGGGCGGGGAGGACGAGCCGCCGCGGCGCCGGGCGGCGCGCACTGAGCCGGCCAGACGCGCGGGGCCGCCGCGGGCCGGGCGCAGCTGCCAGGCGCGAGGGCACGCCCGGGCGGGGCGGGCGGGCGGGCCGCCGCGCGCCATCGGGGCCGCCTCCCGCCGGCTCTGACTCGGCGCGGCCGCGCCAGCCCCGGCCACACCCTCGGCCCCGCCGCCGCCCTCCCCAGGCCGGAGGCCGGAGATGCGCCCCGGGCCCCGGCGGGGTCGCGCCGCCTGAAGCCCGCGTGCGCCGCCGACCCGGGCCGCCGACGGAGCGCGGCCGCGCCCCTCCGGGACAGGCTTTGGAGCCAAAGAAAGGGAGGAAGGAAGGAAGGACAACTCCCCGCGCCCCGCGCCGCCCCGCCCGGCGCGCGCCGGCCATGCCCAGGAAGGCGGCGGCCGCCGGGCAGAAGGGACTTTCCTGGCCGCGCGGCGGCGGGGAGCGCGGACGGTGAGCCCCGGCCCGGTTCATGGTTCCTGCCCGCGCGCGCGGACGCCGATCGCCGCAGCCCCGCCCCGCGCCGCGGAGAGCCTCCCGCCGGCCCGGCCCTCGGCCCGCCCCGCGCCGCCGCCGCCCCGCGCGCCCTGCCCGCCGCGCTGGATGGCATGATGGTGCGGCCCGGGCGCCGCGGCCGGGGCCAGCTGAGTCGCCACGGCCTCGGGCGCGGCGGTAGCGGGCTCCCCAGCGGCATGCCAGTGCCCCCCGGGCGCGATGGCTAGCGGCAGCGCCGGGCAGCCCACCGGCGAGGCGGCTCCCCCGGCTCCCGCGAGCGCCGGCGGCGGGACCGGCTCGCAGCCGCGGAGGAGGCTGGTGTCCGTGTGCGACCACTGCAAGGCCAAGATGCAGCTGGTGGCCGACCTGCTGCTGCTGTCCAGCGAGGCGCGGCCCGTGCTCTTCGAGGGCCCCGCCTCCGCCGAGTCCTTCGAGCAGTGCCGGGACACCATCATCGCGCGCACCAAGGGCCTCTCCATCCTCACGCACGACGTGCAGAGCCAGCTCAACATGGGCCGCTTCGGGGAGGCGGGGGACAGCCTGGTGGAGCTGGGCGACCTGGTGGTGTCGCTGACCGAGTGCTCCGCCCACGCGGCCTACCTGGCGGCCGTGGCCACGCCGGGCGCGCAGCCCGCGCAGCCGGGCCTCGTGGACCGCTACCGGGTGACCCGCTGCCGCCACGAGGTGGAGCAGGGCTGCGCCGTGCTGCGGGCCACCCCGCTGGCCGACCTGACGCCGCAGCTGCTGCTGGACGTGTCGCAGGGGCTGTCGCGCAACCTCAAGTTCCTGACGGACGCGTGCGCCCTGGCCAGCGACAAGTCCCGGGACCGGTTTTCGCGCGAGCAGTTCAAGCTGAGCGTCAAGTGCATGAGCACCAGCGCCTCGGCGCTGCTGGCCTGCGTGCGCGAGGTCAAGGCGGCGCCCAGCGAGCTGGCCCGCGGCCGCTGCGCGCTCTTCAGCGGGCCCCTGGTGCAGGCCGTGAGCGCGCTGGTGGGCTTCGCCACGGAGCCGCAGTTCCTGGGTCGCGCGGCGGCCGTGAGCGCCGAGGGCAAGGCGGTGCAGACGGCCATCCTGGGCGGCGCCATGAGCGTGGTGTCGGCCTGCGTGCTCCTGACCCAGTGCCTCAGGGATCTGGCGCAGCACCCCGACGGGGGCGCCAAGATGTCGGACCACAGGGAGAGGCTGAGGAACTCGGCCTGCGCCGTGTCTGAAGGCTGCACCCTGCTATCTCAGGCTTTAAGGGAGAGGTCTTCGCCCCGGACTTTGCCGCCAGTGAATTCCAATTCTGTGAATTAGCCCTGTCCCGCCCCCCCCAGCGGAGCAAGTACTTACTCTCGCCCCTCGCCATGTATACCAAAGAAACCACAGGTGAAGCCCCGGTGCCCTCCGCGTCCGATGCACGAGAGGAATCTTCCAGAAGGCAGGACGACGCCTACCATTCAGGGGCCGCCGGAGGCCCGCCGGACCGTGGTGGCTGTGCCCCCTCCCTGCGGCCCTTCTTCCAGAACTCCCGCTGGACGTGCCACCCCGGGGCCGGAAGGAGGAGGTGGCGGGCCCTCTTCTCGGTCTTTCTGTTTTCTAATGAAAAGAAAGGTTACCTCAGTTCTCGCTCCCTAGACGCGGGGCGGCCTTGGCTCCGGGCAGCGGCCAGCCGGCGGAGGCGCATGGAGGGAGCCGGCCCTGCCGTGTGATTTGCAAACAGGAAAGCTACTGTGAGTGTGTGTCCTAGTTCTAATTTACACCATAGAGTGGTTCCCGTGTTGAGTTTTTACCTTGCATGTACTGGAGTATTTATTTCATCTATTAAAACGTTATGTTTCTCAGATGGCTTCGGGCAGTTACTGTGGATCCTCAGTGGGTCTAGGGGCCTCCCGGCCTCTCCAGAGGCCCCGGAAGTTCCCCCGGAGCAGCAGGGGTCCCCGCGAGGCGCCTTTGTGGAGCGCGGGGCCGGGAGCGAGCTCCTCGGTGGGCGCACCGGTGCCTGAGCCGTGACCCGGGAAGCTGGCGCGGCCGCCCTTGGCTTTGTCCAGCCCAGTTTCTCCTGGAAAGCGAAACCGGCCAGGGAAGGGGCTTCCTCTTCCCGGTGTGCCGGCCCCCGCTCTGCGCCCGGAGCTGCGGGCACTGGCTGCTCTGTCCGGCCGCCACTGTGGCTGGGTCCGTTCAGACCAGCCGGGGACTGATTCTGGAGGCGCGAGGTCGAGACAAGGGTGGGGTGGCCGGGGGGGCCGCGCATGATGGCAGGCTCCGGCCTGTGCTGGGGCCTCGGCCGTGTGCTGCGTCCTTGGACGTTTGCAGCTACGTCAGTCTTTCCTGCAGGCATTTTCAGGAGGTTTCTTTGGGGTGTGTGGTTTCCTGGGCCTCAGGCTGAGAGCTCCCCCAAACCCCAGTGCTGCCCTGGGGGCTAGGTGGGTTTTGCCTGGGCTCAGCGCCCCGTGTTCCTGGGGTTTGAGGTGCTGGGTCTTTGCGTCCCCACAGATCTGAAAGATTCCTCCCTGCAGTATGTTATCGAGAAGGTGCCGCCGAGCAGCTGTGTCCGTCCCCAGGAGGCCGTGCTCCGCGGGCGGGCCGGGGCCAGGGCTGTCTCTTGTCTCTGAGGTTTTTTTGGAAGCCTGAGGTTAAACGTCTTAAACTTTAATTAAAAACTTTTAAAGTCTTAAAGTGGTAGGTCCTTATGTTTACCGAAAGTGGCCAGGGACGCTCTTACTTTTTCCTCTCAAGTCACAGTAGATTAAACATTTAAGTCTTTTAAGGAAGAAAGTGGCCTTGGGAATGTTTGTTCCCCGTCCTTGGAGGTGTAGGCCAGCGGGGGCGGGCGTGGGGGAGACCCGGCCCCTCCGCGGGCCCGCGCGCGTCCTCCCTGCTGCCGTAGGACTGAGCAGCTCCGGAAGGCAGCCTCGCCTGGCGCGCTCACAGGGAGCAAACTGAGCAACGAACTAAGCAAAATGAAATTGGGGCCAGAGACTGTGGATTTAGCGTTTGGTTAGGAAAAGGGGCGGCCCGGTGCTCTCGGACACATGCCTTGCAGGAGCAACTCTCAGGGAGAGACCCACCAGGAAAGAGCCGCTTCCCGGTCTATGTGGATGGTCGGGGCCAGCGGGCTGGTGGTGGGGTGTGGGGCACCCTCCCTGGCCTCCTGGCCCACGGCAGCTCTGCTCGGCCACCCGCCGGCCGTCTGAGTCCGGGTGGTGTCCAGCCCCTCCTGCTTGTCCCCAAGACCACGCCAGGGCGGGGGTCAGGGTCTTCCTTCCGGCAGGCACTGGAGTAGACTCGCCCGTCCCCCTCACGCCTCTGCCTGGCACTGCGGCCCAGGGGGCCCCTGATCCCAGGTGCTCCCTGCTTGTTAAGTAGCCCCGACTTTAAAGCAGGAGCCCCTGAGACAGATTTCTCGGGGTGTAATAAGGCCCGTAGAGACGCTGGTTCCAGGAGGAACTTGGAGTGGCCTGATTCTCCTCATGCAGCCCACTGGAGTGGGGGAGCCTTCTCATAGCGGCTCTGGGAGGGGAAACCTCCTTCCACCGCACGGTGGGGGGAGCGAGTCTTAAAGGCAACGTTCTCGGAACAGAATCCCTTTGCTGTCACAGCCCTGGCAAGCAGTGGGGCAGCGCAGGTGGGCTCCCCTGAAGCTGGGCTGCCCCGCTTGGCGGCTTCAGGTTTGGCCTGAGGGAGATGCAAAAATCCCACGTGTGCATGTGGTGTGTGCACGTGTGTGGTGGGCATGTGTGTGCACGCATGTGGTGTGTGCAGTATGTGCACAGGTGTGCGTGTGGTGGGTGCACGTGGTGTGTATATCCGTGTTTGTGTTTCCATCCCCCCATCCACGTTGTCTTCCTCTAATTTAGGGTCACATCTCTTCAGACAGCCGGGAGCTTGGATGTTGCAGCCCCAGTGGCTGCGCTGGGCAGCAGCAGGGGCCTGGGTGTCTGGCAGGCAGAACCGCAGTTTTCACAGACAAGTCACAGACACACCTGCCTTCCGCTGGGTGTGACGGCCGTGAACAGGTCCAGTAGGGACAGGAGGGGCCTACCAGTGCCCTGGGTGCTGCGCTGGGGGGGTGCGCAGAGGCTTCGCCGCCCCCGCTTGCCTTGCCGCTGGCGCCTGCCTGAGCCGGGGACGCAGTGCTGGGGCCTGGACTCAGGTGGCACCCGGCTGGGCTCCAGTGCGGACCTTTGCCGTCCACGTGGCCGGCGCGGTCCTCCTAGGCCCGGGCTGAGCGAAGGCCGGCCACTCAGTGTGTGACCTCGGCCTCGCTGCCTCTTGGCGCCCGGCTGGCCTGAGTCAGCGGCAGGTATCCGGCGCCGTCCTGTTGGGCTGGGCAGACGTGGATGTCCCGGGCTATGATGTCTGCGTGAGCTGCACGAGGAGGTCGTGGGTGCAGGCGTGCAGGAGAGAGCAGGGGAGCGTGGTACATCCCCCGGCCCAGCCCGGGCCTGCTCCTGCCCACGCAGCCTTAAGCAGAGCCCACATAGTGGCCACCGAGCCCGGAGGGTCTGCCTGGCCTGTGTTGGCTCCACTGCCCTCCCCTGCGGCACCTGTGGCGTGGCTGTGGTGGCGGCGGCCGTGTCCCCGCATCTGTGTCCCTGTTTCTGCAGTGCGACCCGAGCTCCCTGCCAGCGCTGCTGCCAGGGCCTGCTTAGGGAACAGCCCCTCGTTGCAGCCACAGGACAGTGCTCGCCCACTGCTGCCCTGGGGTTGGGCAGCTGCCTGCAGGCCAGGCTGAGCAGGCGGCAGGGGCCCAGGTGGCGGGGGGTATAGCAGGCCTGCTGGTGGGACACTGTGAGCCCCAAACACCCCAGGCGGTAGGGCTGCTCTCGGGGTCTGTGTCACCACACAGGAGCCATCCCTCTAGTCGCCGCCTCTCACCCCACGCCGGAGCCTGCCTTGTCCTTGTGCTAAGTGAAGCCTTCCAGCTGCTCCACTCCCGCTCGCGAGGCTTTCCAGCCCCGCCTGAGGGTGCAGCCTATGGGGGTGCTGTGGGTGGGGGATCAGCGGCTGGGGATGCAGTGGGCATGGGTGCAGTGGCTGGGGGGGGTGCAGCGGGTGGGGGTGCCGAAGCCAGGTACAGTGGTGGGGGCCTGTCTCGTGCGTGTGGACTGCTGGGAGGCGCATCTGGACAAGCTCAGCCCCCCTCATGGACCCAGGGGTCCTCATGCTGCGGGGGCGCAGACCCCTCCCTGGCCTCGAGCGGTTTCTCTCTTGAAGTGCTACCAGGAAAGGTCTGAAGTAATGTCTCCCAGACGTGAGCCTGGACCCGCGGTTAACATGCCCAAGAGCCCCACCTGGTGCTTCTTTAGGCTGTCACTGGCCTGGCGGGCGGGAGGGGGTCCTGGGGGCTGCTGGCTGCGGGGCGTGCTCCTTGAAGGCCTCCCAGCGGCCCAATGACAATCTTCCTCCCGCCTTTTGTCTCTGGCCGACACTCGGAAGCCAGCCTGCGGCCTCCCGCATCTGACTGGCAGGGCCCACCGCATGGCCCAAGACCCCATCCAAGGGAGGCCAGAGTCGCATCAGGCCCTCTCCTGAGTCCACCCTCGGCATGGCTGGGGGGCGTGCCCGCCGGGGGCCTTTCTGCTGGGTGGAGCCCAGGAGTGCTGGAGCCCATGTGGGGTCAGCTCTGTAGGAAGGGGCAGCTTCCTCCTCCACCAAGCTGGTGGCCTGGCCTTGGGTGGGGTCTGGGCAGAGCAGGGGGCAGGGTGGGGGCGGCCAATGAGCCAGGCAGCCGAGGAGGCACCTCACAAGCACCCCCAACCACGTGAGAGCGCCCCATGTAGACACGGCACTGGGGACAGCTGTCTGAGGCGCACAGCCATGGTGTCACTGCCCTTCCGTGTGCACCACGGTGGCCGCCCTGGCCCCAGCCTCCGCGCTCACGCCGCTCTGGAGCAGACGGCGCCCTTCCCAGCTCAGCGCCGGGCTCCTGCAGCGCGGCCCCCTGTGCCGTACCCCAGCTCCCGCCGCCCGCCCGGCCCAGCTCCTCGGAAAGTGTAGTTTTTCTCGGCAAGGTTTGACCCAAGAAGCAGGAGAACGCGGCAGCCATGTCTGTCCCAGCTGCACCCGAGTCCCGCCACCCCTGGGTCCCACATGACTCGGCGCCCCCAGGCAGCCAGGGAGGCTCCTGGCCCTGCGGCTCCTTCCTGCCAATGGCACTTTGCTGCGCCGGAGCGGTCAGGGCCTGCCCAGGGTCCCAGCCCTGGACTCTAGCTTCTCTCCAGGGACAGTGCCCGGTGGGTCTGGGCCAGGAAGCACCCGGGGCCCGTGCAGGGGCAGGCGCCGAGGCTAGAGTCAAGCCCCCGGGAAGGCTGGAGAAACTGGAGCTGGCTCGTGGGGAAGGACGAGGCAGATGGAGGCCTGGGCTGGGGCTGCCTGCGGCACCAGGAGGGGTGGGCAGGGAGGCTTTCGCTGGAGAACCGGCCCCTTGGGAAGCTTGTAGGGGACGGAGCTGGGAGGGACGTGGCAGCCTGACTTCCTGTGGGGCTGGGGACTGCAGTGCCAGGCAGAGAAGCTGAGTTCAGCCTGGACTCGGGGCCTGTCGTGTGGCCTGGACTAGCTTTGCTGAGCACCGCGTGCTGGGGCCGCAGGAGGAAGGCCGCAGCGAGGCCTGACTGGGGAAGTGGCAGCCAAGCGACAGGAGGAGACAGTCCCATAGAAGGCTCCGGAAAGCCAGGCGCCGGCGCAAGCAGACAAGGCAGGACTGGGCTCTTTCAAGGTGCTGCTCTGAAATCAAGGCGCGACCAGAGGCTTAGAGGGGCGCGCCAGGCTTGTCCCCTTTACAGTAAACGTTTAAGTGAAGAGCAACACAGAGCCGCGGCTGGGCGCGGTGCCAGCGCAGCCTGAGCCCGCCAGGGCCCGACCTCAGCGTCCCCGCCTGCCCAGACACTGCCCCACCTCCTGGCGCAGGCAGCTGCAGCGCTCCCGCGAGGGGCCCCGGGTCTCCGGCAGGTGTGCAGGGCGCAGCGCTCTGGAGGTGGCAGGGCGGGGGCTCTACTCAGAGATGCTGCCAGGTCTGCCGCTCTCCAGGCAGGCGGCACGTGTGGGGGGCTGTGTGGCCTCACTGCGCTCTCGGCCAATGCTCCCCACCCCACGCCTTTGCTCGAATAAGAGCCAGAAAATGTTTTTTAAAAAAGATTTTCTTTTTCCTGAAAAGCCGGGCCTTGCCTGGTCTACGACACGGGCTCTGCTATACTCTCTCTGGGTGAGCCAGATCCCAGCCCCTGCGTGGAGGCTGCGTGAAAGCAGAAGTGGGCTAGAACCTTCCAGAAACCACGATGGAGGAGGAGGAGCTCTCTGGACCTGGGAGGAGAGAGAGGGATCTGGAGACTGGGGAGGGACCCATCTTCTGGGCAGTCTCCGGCACGCCCCTTGCCCGCTGGCTGGGGACAGCTGGGGGCAGAGACGTGATTGGACCTCGGGCCCTGGCGAGCAGAGCGCTCTGTCCAGGCTGGGCAGGCCCTGTGCTCTGCGGGTCCTACCTGCCAGGGCCCCCTGACCTAAGGAAGAGCGTCCTGCTGACCCCATCCTGCCTGAGCACGTGGCCTTGCAGAGTGTCCACAGTGGGCCCTGCTGCCCCCGGAGACAGCCCTCGCAGAAGCTGGCCTCAGCCCAGCCCGTGGGAGCCAGGGAGGGAGGTGACTGGGCCGAGGTCAGTAAGTCCCGTGGTCCTGGGACCAGCCCAGGGGCTGCCCTTGGCCTGCAGGGCCAGAGAGCAGAATTTCAGCAGGCGGGACCCGGAATTTCAGAGCCGCTGGGCCGGGGGATGGGAAGGCGGCACTCAGATTTGAAGGACACTCGTGGGAAAGAGGAAAAGGGAAGAAACCACGTTTAAA